GTATGCTTCAATCTGCATTCACACTCCATAGTTCTTTCTCTGGATGTGGATAGCATTTTCTATCATGACTTTTGGAGATGTCTTAGATCCTTGCATTGCTGAGAAGAGCTAAGTCTATCAAAGTTAGTCATCACACAGCGTAGTTGTTACTGTGTACAATGTTCTCCTGGTTCTGCTCACTTCACTCAGCATCAGTTTATACAAGTCTTTCCAGGTTTTTCTGAAGTCTGCCTGTTCATCATTTCTTATTGCACAATAGTATTCCATTATATTCATACACCACAATTTGTTCAGCCATTCCCCAATTGATGGGCAACCCCTTAATTTCCAATTCTTTGCCACCACAAAAAGAGCTGCTATAAATATTTTTGTATATGTGGGTCCTTTTTCCATTTTTATGATCTCTTTGGGATACAGACCTAGAAGTGGTATTGCTGGGCCAAAGGGAATGCACATTTTTATAGCCCTTTGGGTATAGTTCCAAATTGCTCTCCAAAATGTTTGGGTCATTTCACATTGAGTTCCAATTTCTGTCCCTCCCTCCAGCCCCTTCCCCACCCATTGAGAAGACAAGCAATATAATACCCATTATACATGTGCTGGGTCCCTTTGTAAGTGGTGTTGAAGGAATTAATGAATAAGGAGAGTTTGGAGATGATGGAAAAGAGAAGACATGGGGAGGTGAGCTAATGGGAAAGATGGGACAAACTAGGATCGAGAGCACCGGAAGAGGAGCTGACCTTGGCAAGGAGAAGAACCATCTACCAGAGACCAGCAAAAGATGAGAGGATGGGTGGTAGTGAAGTTGGTTTTTTGTTTTTTGTTTTTTATTTTTAATAAAGGGACTTATTTAATAACAGCAGATTTTAGATTTTTGTCAATACAGCATTATTCTCAACTGATCACTGTACCTCACACCATATGTCTAAACAACTGTCAAAGCTTCTCATTTTTATCTCCATGTCTTTTGCAGTCATCCACTTCTCTTCACTCTCATAGGTACCACCCTGGTTAAGGATTGCACCACCTTTTCCCTGAAATACTGAAATAGCCTCTTTAAAAAAATAATAATTTATTTATTTTTAGTTTTCAACATTCACTTTTATAAGATTTTGAGTTCTAAATTTTTCCCCCTCCCTCCATTCTCTCCTCCCCAAGACACCATGCAATCTGCTATAGGCTATACACGTATGATCATATTAATCACATTTCCACATTAGTCATTTTGTGAAAGAAAACACAAAAAAGAGAAAATAGTATGCTTGCAATAGCCTTTTCCAATTGGTCTCCTCGACTCGAGTTTTCTCTTCTCAATCCACCCTCACATAGCTGCTAAAGTGATTTTCCTCCAGCACACATCCGCTCAGATCCCTCCCCTGCTCCACAAACCCAATGGCTCCCTATTGCTTTGTAGGATGAAATAGAAACACCTCTGCTTCGCTTCTAAAGCCCTTCATAACCTGGTCCCCACCTATCACCCATCACTTCCCTCCCTGCATGCTAGGTTCAACCTAGCTAGACTTCTTTCTGTTCTTCAACCATGATACTCTGTAGCCCATCTCCTTGCCTTTGCACTGGCTGAGCCTCATGCATTCCCATTTCACCCCCACCTCTTAGAATCCTTGATTTACTTCAAAATTCTTTTTTTTTTTTTTGGCTAGGCAAATGGGGTTAAGTGACTTGCCCAGGGTCACACAGCTAGTAAGTATCAAGTGTCTGAGGTCACATTTGAACTCAGGTCCTCCTGACTCCAAGGCTGGAGCTCTAGCTACCGCGCCACCTAGCTGCCCCCCAAAATTCTGTTCAAACCTGTGTCAATACTTTCCTGACTCCTCTTCCCTAGTATTATCCCTACCCCCAAAATGTATCCTGAATTTACTTTGTATTTATTTTACATATGATTTTGTGTTGTCGTTCCTGATAGGCTACAAGCTCTTTGAGACAGGTACTACCTCATTTTTCTCTTTGTATCTCCCATGCCTAGCACAAGGCATGGTATATAGTAGATGCTTAATAAATAGATTGGGAGACTTGAGGAGAAAGGAGAATGTTTGGAATAACAGCTGTGAAGAGTGAGATTCAAAGTCAGAGAAAAATAGAAGGATTATCATGAAACAGTGAGGTCCAGTTGAGCAGGATAAATGATATAGCAAAGAGATTATGCCAACAAAAGGATGTGGGCTGATGAATGGAGCTGATAGATAGCCTATTGTCTATGTAAAGTCAATAGAAAAGGCTCTGAGCCCACTGTGTGGCCTCCACCCTCCCCCTCAAGTTATATTGGATAAAGGGAAGAGGAAGGAAATAAGTAAGCATTTATATAGTACCTACTATGTGTTAGGCACAGGGCTAAGCACTTTACAAATATTATTTCACTTGATCCTCACAGCAGAAGCCCTGTGAGGTAGGGGCTGTAATTATCCCCATTTTGTAGCTGAGGAAACAGGCAGAGAGGCTAAGTGATTTGCCTAGGGTCACACAGCTAGTAAGTGTTTGAGGCTGGCTTTAAACCCAGATCTTCCTGACTCCAGACCTGGCACTCTATCCATTGTACTACCTTGCTGCCCCAACAAGAGAGATGTAAAGGCAGGGTTGGGTTGCATAAAACCTGCCCTCCTGGAGGGAGGACCTACATGGATGACGTCACGGATTCACCGACCCATTGAAGTCTATCTTTTTTAGGATTAGTGAGAAGCACCAGCCCCTGCGCAGAAAAAAATAGGACATGCTTAGAGTGTTAATATCTTGGCATTGGTTGTGGGGAGGAGAGTCAGAGAAGGGAAAGAAGAAAGGGAGGGAAAATGAATCAAGGCTTGGGAGCTGCACGATCTCAGGGATGGAGGGACAGAGAGAGGGAAAGACTAGAGGAGCAGAAGAGACGGAGAGACAAATATCAAGAGAGAGAAAAATAGCAATATAACGTCATGGAGAAAAAAAAAAGAATTGCAACAGGAGTCTAATCTCAATGGGGTTTTTGTCAGCTCCTGGGCCTCAGCTGGACGTGGGGAGGATTGTTGAACTCATTAGTACAAAAGTCTTACCTCTAGCCCTGGCATATGAAGAAATAGACTGAGAGATAAAAGGTTAGACAAGAGAGAAACAGAAGCAGCTAGGTAGCACAGGGCATAGACTGCACCGCTTAGAATCAAGAAGACCTATTCAAATACTGCTTCAGGAGTACCTATCTTCCAGGCCTGTTGTGAGAATAAAATGATATATTTGTAAAAGTATTCTTAGGGACAACGAGGAGCGCTGGAATCAGGAGGACCTTAGACACTTGACACTTACTAGCTGTGTGACCCTGGGCAAGTCACTTAATTCTGATTGCCCTCAAAAAAAAAAGTGCTTTGTCCCTCTGGGTCCTCTCCTCAAAATTTCTCTCTGCAACCATGAAGGCCTTAGGTGTCCCCCCCACCACCACCACTGTGCACTATAAACTTAAGAGGATCATCCTCTCCCTTACCTTCAGGCACTCTTTCCTCTTTTTTGTTATTCTTGCTTAGTCACATCTGAAGCTGTGACCCCATTTGGGGTTTTCTTGGCAAAGATACTGGAGTGATTTGTCATTTCCTTCTCCGGTTCATTTTACAGATGAGTAAACTGAGGCAAACAGGGTTAAGTGACTTGCCTAGGGCCACACAGCTAGTATGTATCTGAGGCTAAATTTGAACTCAGGTCTTCTTGTTTCCAGGGCCAGCACTCTGTGTACTATGGCACCACCTAGCTCTCCTCTTACTGCCTGGTTTTCCCAGGGAGGGCAGGAGATGTCCAGAGCTAAAGAGGGAAGGAGAGGAGAGAGTAGAAATGCTATGGCCCTGTCAATTCATCAATAAACTTTGGTAGGGGCCCTTTTCTTACAAAGGCACTGGGGTGGGCAGTGCCCAAGAGACTAAGGTACACTAAAAGAAAAACAGACCCTTCCCTGAGCTTGCAGTTATAGAATACGAAATTCAGACCTGGAAGGGAACTGAGCCTCAAAGAAGCTGAGACTTTCCCAGGACATAGTTGCAGAGAGAGACCAAAATTCATAATTAGCTAATAATGGAGATGGGCTCGGAGTGTCCGGATCTCTCAACACTCCCGCATCCTATGTCCCTCACTCCAGGATGGAGAGCCTTGCTCAGGGTGAGCATAGGCATTAAGGTAATCAGCTTCCTAACAGGAGGTTATGTTTTGAAGCGAGGGGGAGGCATGGTTCTCCTTCCCAAACCTCCCTTCATTCCAGGGATATTTTGTGTACAGTGCATGTGTGTGTGTGTAGGGGGGCGGCATGTTTTATATCCTCTGTGGGGCCTCCCAGTGGTGGTTTTGCTTCCCCCCACCCCATCCCCCTCCTATCCTACCCACCCTCAGCACTCAACGATGCCTTTACTCCCACCCTCTCCCCTTCTCCTGTTTAACCCCAAACAGTCAGGTTCTGGGTCGAGATAAGAACTCTGTTTAATATCAATAAGGGGCAAGGGGGTCCCCCTTTTAGGGCAGACAGCATTTGCCCACAAATGCTCCCTCCCCTGACATGGTAAGATGCCAAGGGGATGAGAAGCCCAGGAATGTCCAGATTGCCTTCATTAGGAGATACTGACTGCATTTACAAGCCCCACTGCTCCTCAGAAGGAAAGCCTGGCCCAGGTCTGGGCCCTCCATGTCCAGGGTGACCCAGTCTGCTAGAACATCCACCCCTCAGGGAGAGTGTAGCTAGCCAGGCCCCAGCTCCTTGGGTCTGTTTCCACAACAAGGCAGGCTGTGTGCCCTGTAAACTTGGTCCCTCCCCATTCCACATCCCTATGCTGGGGACACTGTGACCTGAGTGGGGGTGGGAGTTCCCTGGCCCCAACTCCCCTTTTAAGAATGAGAGAAGAGTACAGCCCCTTCCCCCACTCCTCCAAACCAGGGAAATTGGGGAGACTCCCCCCACCAGCTCCTAATGAGGAACCCTAGCACTCCTACACTCTCTCAATGGCGACTGAACTACCACTTCACTTCCAGAGCCAGAGCAGATAATGCCTTATGTTCACAGGATCTGGAGGTGAGTTGTATGCATCTGTATACATGCGAGGGAGGATTTGTGTATATAAGATTGTATGTGTATATACACATGCATGTATATATGTGCACACACATGTGTGCACTATTTAAGTTTACAGCATGTGAATGTGTGTAGTAAACAGGCGACTAGCTTTAAAGCCAGGATCCCCAGGATCTGGGTTCAAGTTTCATCTCTGACATATCCTGGTTGTCCCAAGGCTCTGAATCTTCAACAAGCATTTATTAAGCATGGCCAAAGAAAGCTAAGTTTGACAACAGAGGTCTTGGGTTCAAATCCAGTCTCTGTTTCTCCCCACACCCCTACCCTCCCACTTTGGACATGCACTTTTTTTCTTTTTTTTTTTTTGGTGAGGCAATCAGGGTTAAGTGACTTGCCCAGGGTCACAATGGACATGCACTTTCTCTTTGATATTTTGCCTCAAACTCTAGCTCTGTGACTGGAAGCAAGTATTAGTACCAGGCTTAACAACAAGCCCTGGAGATACAAAGACAAAAGCTTACTTTCTATCCAGCAGAATCAACATGAACATGTAAGGATATACAGTATAGAGAAAGAATAGGGGGCAGCTAGGTGGTGCAGTAGAGAGAGCACTGGTCCTGGAGTCAGGAGGACCTGAGTTCAAATTCGGCCTCAGACACTTGACACTTACTAGCTGTGTGACCCTGGGCAAGTCACTTCACCTCATTGCCTAGCAAAAACAAAAACAAAACAAACAAACAACAAAAAAAATAGATATAAGGTTTGGAATTGGGGGGCGAGGACGGGAGGGAAAAGGCACCTGCCGGGATCAGAAACAGCCTCGTTTGAGCTGATTCTTGATGGCTTCTAAGGCTGCTGATATAGGTGAGGAAGGAGTACGTTCCAGGCACGTAAGATAGTGAAAACGTGGAGTGACACGTATTAAGAACAGAAGGGGGAGGGGCAGCTAGGTGGCGAAGTGGATCGACCACTGAAGTCAGGAGGACCTGAGTTCAAATCTGGCCTCAGACACATAACACTGACTGACTAGCTGTGTGACCCTGGGCAAGTCACTTAACCCCAATTGTCTAAAAAAAAAAAAACAACAACAACACCACAAAGGCGGCCAGTTTAGCTGGGCGAAGTGTGCACGGAAGAGAATAATGTGAAGCAAACTGGAAAGACAGATTGGGGCCAGATTGTGGAGGTTTCAAATACCGAGTGGAGGAGCAGGTAATAGGAAGCCACTGGAGTTCATTGGGTAGCTGAAGTGACATAGTCAGGATTGCATTTCCAGCAAATCAGTTTGGAGACTGTGTAAAAAAAGATGGATGTTCCTACATGCGGTTCCATTTCTCTGTTGATTCCATATGTATAACGGCAACTAGGTGGCGCAGTAGATAGAGCTCCGGGCTTGGAGTCAGGAGGACCTGAGTTCAAATGTGACCTCAGACGCTTGACACATACTAGCTGTGTGACCCTGGGCAAGTCACTTGACCCCAATTGCCTCAGGAAAAAAAATTCCATATGTATAGAACTCTATCTCTGAACATCTATCTCCACGTTTCTGTGTGGCCCCCAAATTTGCAAATGTTCTTCTCTGTTCACATCACGTTTTCATGTCTCTCCGTAAAATCATAGCTTGAGAGCTGGGAGGAGTTTTAGAAGCCATTGAATCATTCTCCCCCTCCCCCACTTTACAGATGAGAAAACTGAGACCCAGAGAGGTTAAGTGACTTGCCTAGGGTCACAGAACTGGTAAGTATCTGAGGCAGAATTGGAAAGGGAAAGTGATGCATCCAAAGTAGGAGGAGGGGGGGCAGGGAGGAGAAGAGACTAAATTTGAACCCAGGATCTTTGATATCAAATTCAGTTTTCTATACTGTGTTACAATGCATCGGGGAGGGAGAGAAGGTGTAGAAGAATCCCCATAAACTTCTTTTCCTCATCTCAAGATCCAGCCTTCCCTACTGGCACACCTCCCATGGGTTAATAATTGTTGTATATCCCGTTAGTGGTTTCCAGTCCCAATCCCTTCCCAGCCTCATCTGCCTTTGGCCTGTCTGGGCTTTGGGAGGGGTCCTGCTCTCCAGCCAAACAGAGCCCTGAGGCTTGGCCCTGCCCCAAACCTGGGTTATTTCTCCAGGATCTATAAAGCAAGAGACCCCAGGTGGGGCCGCTCCCAGTGGAAAGAACCTGTACTCCAACTCCAGGACTTTCTGGCGCCGCTTCTGCTGCTGTTCTGCGTTGCTACTCCTCCTCTTCGATTCCCTTCACCTCTTCACCGTCACCATTGCCTTCCACCACTCAGTGTCTTACCCTTGCCCACAATGTTACTCTGGCACAACCAACCAGAACATCTGTGGCCCAGCCCAGGGGAACTCTACCCCTGTCCCACTAGCAATCTGCTCAGGTAGGTGCTTCCAACCCTGGGAATATTCTCCCTCACCCTCCAGCTCACCCTGAGGGCAGTTGTTTGCCTAGGCACCCACCTTAATCCCCCATGGTCAGTCCCCTCCAGTGTCTGCCCACTTCTCCCTGCCTCATCTGGGTGCTCCCTGCTGACCCTGGTTTCCCCAATCTGCAGAACAGGCCAGGGGAGGTGCTCCTTAAACAGGAAGTTTCTTTGAGGGGAAGGGAAAACGTCACCTAGGGTTGACTGAATGAGGAAAAGGTGGGCAGAAATGCCCCTCTTGGGTTTCCAACCCCTTTGGAGCCTCTGAGTCCATCTGGGGTTTAGCCATAGTTCTGTGGATCTCCAAGCATTTATTTCCTAAAGGTTTCATTCGCCTTTGTGCATCCTCTGAGCTGAAGCAAAACCTGATCTTATCCAGAGAAAGAAGATTGTGAGGTCCAGGAAGGTTTAGGGACAGGGATAGGAGGCACTCTTTCAGGCACTGAACCATGTCAGCACTTCCCGGCTCAATTTCTGGAAGAAGGATTTTCTAAGAAGAGCCGGAGCCTTTTGGAAGATGGGCAGGACACCCCCAGGGTATGGGAGAACTGGGAACCATCCTCTGTTAACCTGAGCTTCCAGTGGCCCAGGGCTGGGGAAAGCAGGCAGTGTTTGAGAGATGGAGGAGGAGAGCCTGGCAGCTGAGGGACAGTGTCCATCTCACCCCAGCAGGGAGCCCCTGGCACTGCCGTACCTGAAGCAGGAGGACCCTGCCAGCATTTCTACCTCAGACATGCACTGCCCAGTCTTCCAATATGTCCTCTGTGCTGTCACCTCTCCCGCTGTCAAGCAACATGAGGAAACACTCACCTACCTGAACCAGGGTACGACCGACATGGGGCATGGGTGTTGGAGACTGACTTCTCAGTGGGGGAGTGTCATCTAATAGATACATTGGATCTGGAACCTGGAAGACCCAGGTTTGGAGTCTACCTGTAACACTTACTATCCGTGTGACCTTGGGTGTCATTGGAGTCTTAGTTTTCCTATCTATAAAATGGGGCTTTTAATAACATTTTCCTCACAGGTTTCTTGTAAGGGTTAAGCACATGATGTATGTAAAATGCCCTGCAAACCGTAAAGGGTTATGTAATTATAAGTTGTTTGATCTCTGTATCCCTAACACCTGGCTAGCATGGTACCTGGCACTCTGACACAGGGACCTAAATGTTTTTGAATTATCATTAAGAGGTCCGGTGATGTAGTGGATAGAGAGCCAGCTTTGGAGTTGGAAAATCTGGGTTCAGGTCCTACTGAATATCGGATGTAACCCCGGGCAGGTCACTCAATTTCTCAGTGATCCATCCATCTCTCTAAGAACAAGCTGTAGAGATGCCAAATTGTGTTATTAATCCTTATTGGAAACTCTCCGCATGGTCCTTTAAACAAATTGTTATTAGTGGGGTTGGAGCCTGGATACCACAATGGAGTTGATGAGTACAGATGATGGACCTCAGCCCCAGGGACAGTCAGCATGGGCAGTAGAAGGTTGTGGGGCAAGGGGACCCCAGAAGTGGAAGGGATCATCTCTGGTCTTCAGATGGCCCTCCTGGCTTTGGGCATGACTGATTCCCATCCTGATCTCTTTCAGGTCAATCCTATGAAGTCCGGATGCTCTGTAACCCCAAACTAGGGGACGCTTCCCAGTGGCCTCGACTGCTGAAAGTGAGCCTCTCCTCACCTCTGAATCTTCATTTAGATCAAATGCCAGCTAAAAACTATTCTCCCTCAGGTGGGAAGGCGCTAGACAGGAGGTTGCCTTGTCTGCTGTTTCCCTCCCTGCTATCTTCGACACTGGACACCATATTTCAGAGGCAGCAAAGATCAAATAGTGGAGAGAATATTGAATGGGATGTCAGGAAGCCTACCACTAACTAGCAGTGTAAACATGGAGTCACTTAGTCACTTAACCTCTCCAAGGCTCGGTTTCCTTACCTGTAAAATGGAAGAGATAACCTGTAGAGCCAATCTTAAGGAGAGGCACAAATGAGATCATGCATTTTAACACTTCCCGCAAACAAAAGCATTTGGGACGCATCAGGCTCCCAGGCAAATGATTATTAAGTAGTCTTTCAATCCCTGTAGGATTTCCAATTGTCTTCTTATTAGAGCATGGGGGAGAAGAGGGAGAGGAGAGGTGGCTTGAATCGGATGAAAAGTAGGGAAGGTCCTTGGAGGCTGCACTCTGGAATTCCCAAGTGTGTCTCTGAGCAGGGTGTCTGGTGTCCACAGAGTGTGGTACGTGTGGTCTTCCACGACCGACGCCTGCAATACACGGAACAACAACAGCTGGAAGGCTGGCGGTGGAGCCGTCCAGGGGACAGGATACTGGATATTGGTGAGGGGAGGAAGGGGGAAAGAGCCCTCCTCATGGGACTTCCCTGCATCCGTGGGGACCTGGGGAGGGGGCTTTGGGAGTCTGGGGTGGCAGGAGGCTTTCAGGATGCTTTTACTTCCCGCTGCTCCCCTTCTATGAGTTTAACTTTGGCGCCTGTCTACCTCTTCTCCTGTGCCTACAGATGTGCCCCTATCAGTGGGGGTGATAGAGCCCCAGGTACTGCCCTCACTCCTCAACACAGTGGAGTTTCTCTGGGATCCTGCAAAAAGGACATCTCTCTTCTTGCAGGTCAGGGGTTAGGGTATATCAGATATCGTTCCTGCCCTCTAGTCAATCGTTGACTGGGTGGTGGGATGAGGTATGGTAAGACACAGACAAAATAGGAATAACTAATGCCAGGAAGTACGTGAAACTTGGCAGATGACTGGTGCTGGAGGAGCTCAGAGGCACTTGGGTGTTCAGGAGGAGATGGTCCCTGAGCTGAGGGTGGGGGTGGCATTCTGGGAGAGGAAAGCCCTGGGAAGCAGGATACTCTGAGGAGATGATTATGCTGCTGGGTTTAGATAAGAACAATGAAGGGGTAAGAAGCAAGACAAAGTGGTGTGAAATACTGAGCTAGGGTCTACTGATGCTAACTGACAATTTGACTTTGGAAATCTTGGATGTTCCATTTAGAGGATCTGGGTTCAAATCTCACCTCTGACAGTTATACCAGTGCAATCAGGGCAAGTAACTTGACCTCTCTATGTCTCAATTTCTTTATCTGTAAAATGGTTAGGCTAGATGATTGGTGGGGGCTCTTCCAGATCTAGATATGAATGATCCTGACTCATTATTCCTTAATCCATAGTTCCCCCTATCTTGAAAAAATGTTTATTTGCTATAAATATAAATATTAAATGAATAAATATATATACCTGCTTATGCCAAACACTTTACAAATGTTATCTCATTTGATCCTCACAACAAGGTTATCCCCATTATACAGATGAGAAAACTAAAGCAGACAGAGGTTAAGTGACTTACCCAGGGTCACACAGCTAGTAAACATCTAAAATTGGGTTTGAACTTAGGTCTTCCTGACTCTAGGAACAGTGTTCTGCCCACTGCATCACTTAGCTGCCATAACAAGGCCAATAATGTCTCTTCCAGGTACAAAGTCCTGGGACAGATATCAGAACAGGGAGAGTATCCCACGTGGGAGGAGAGGCTAGACCATTGTGTGATGACAGCAGGATGGATCTCTCTGGTTGTCTGGTGAAGACCACAGGCTCCTTCTCAGAATCATTTGTTTAAATTCACAAAATGAAACAAAACAGACTACAAAGGAAATCAATTATTTACAAAGTCATAAAAAATGTAGGGTGTGTGTGTGTGTGTGTGTGTGTGTGTGTGCGCGCGCGCGCAGACCCCAGATGAGGAACTCCTAGAATAGATGAATCTGTTTTTTGCCTCTATCTGGTAGCAGGAATTCTGGCCCTGGCTAAACCCCTACTTTTGTCTGCTTATCTCCTTCCTTTTCTGTCACAGGTTAATTGTATCAGTACAGAGTTCACCCCTCGAAAAAATGGTGGGGAGAAGGGTGTCCCCTTCCGCATCCAGATTGACACCTTCAAACCAGCTGACAAGGGGATACCTGTAGAGCACCTGCACTCAGCCAGCTGCCTCATAAAAGTCTTCAAGGTATCCATTTGGGCCTGAAACCGCCCTCTCCTCCTTAGACCCTAGCACTGTCTCCAGCCCATCTTGTCTTCGGCAGCTCCTAGAGCTGTCCTAACAGACCTCTGGGAGACCTGGGTTTCTTGACTCTCCTGGCACGCCCTGCCTTGCCCCCATTCCCATTTCCTGAATTGTTTTCCTAGAGGGGGGTGGAGGGGGTTATGGATAAGACTCTGAGGTTTCCACATGGACTCCTCCGCAGCCTAAAGGGGCTGACCGGAAGCAGAAAACAGACAGAGAGAAGATTGAGAAGCAGTCACCACAGGAGAGAGAAAAGTACCAGCCAGCCTATGAGACCACTGTCTTCACAGAGGTGTGTGTATGTGTGGCAGCACCCCTACTGGGGCTGAGAGTTGAGGTTCTTGGTATAAACCCTTCTATGGCCTCATTTGTCTTAGTGGAAGGGTACCATAAGCAGTTGGGAAAAATAAGGCCTATATTGAAACATTTTAAAACTAACCACAGAAGAAACAGGCAGAAAATTTGGGTGAAAGTATAGACAAGCAAGATAATTTTGCAAGTAATATGTAGAATTTATTGCTTTAAAAAGAAAAACGGGTAGTGTGAAAGAGATATTCATGATCTCATGTAGAATCTTTTGGTATTCTGCTGTGTATGTGGAAATGGCTCTTCTTTGGCGGTATTTAAATTCAGAATTAAAAAGAAAAAAGAAAAACCAAGGCCTAGAGAGGCTCAATTACTTTCCCCAAGTTACATGGCATGTCAGAGAAAACCCTAATTTAACTTCTAGCAGAGAGCCCCAGATCTATACTGGTTGATTTTTTTTTTTTTTTTTAATGGAAGCTGGGGAGGGTGGAGGTGGGGTGGGCAGAGATCCTGGTTCTCCAAATAGCCATTCTCCTCAGGGATGGATCTATATTCCTTATCCACAAGCCCTTTCTTCCAGGGAAGGAAGAGAATGGGGCCCAAGGTGTCCACCTGGGTCTCTGAGGGAAGCATAGCTGAGGATGAGAGCTAAGGAGGAATCCCTTTCCTTTCCCAAATCCCAATCTTAGGGGAATCACATGTCCTCCAAACTTTCCCCCTCCTTTTCCCCAGTGTTCACCATGGCCTGAAACCTCTACTGGTCTTCATGCCTCTCCCAGCCCTTCTGGCCTGACTTCTCCCCATTCTTTCAAGTTCCTGACCCCTGAGAGGTAAGTAGAAACTAAGGCAGGAGAAGAGGATTGGTCTCATCTGTTTCTTGGTCTCATCCCCTTCTTTTGCCCCCTCAGAGGTATAAGGTCAAGGGTGATTAAAGGGGGGAGGGAAATGGCATTGATTCATTCATTCACAAAATATTTACTGAGCACAGTTTAATGGGGCATGGAGGGTGGGGCACAAAGAGGAATGGGACACAGTCCCTACTCTCCAGGAGCTTCCAGTCTAGCAGGGAGAGAGATACGACAGGAACACAGATCACCTGCAAGGTGATGGAGGGAACAAGGCTAAGTTCTGTAAGAGCTCAGAGGGCAGAAGCAACACCTCAGAGTCCAGCCTTCCAAATCCTGTCTGTTCTTTCTCATAGGATCTGTTCTTCCCCACCCTTCTCCCTGGACAGCTCAGTGGACAGCCCGGGTGAGGTAAATCTCCTCTCCCCAGCCTTTCCTGCCTCATCTTCTTTCTCAGCAGTGTCACCCTGCCCCCTGGTGGCCATGCTTGGCATTGATCTGAAATTAGCTGGACAGGCACTGCCAGGGGAGAGAGTAGGGATGATAATACTTCACATACATTTCTCTAGCACTTTAAAAGGTTTACAGAGTGATTTTCTCAAGACAACCCTGTGAGGTAGGAAATGTAAGCTCATGGTCCCCATTCAGATGCAGAGAGACAGGGCTTCAGAGACAGCAAGTTACAGAGCAACATATGGGACTCTTGCTCATTACCTTTGCAACCACCACTATCAGCCCTGGGCCTATAGAATGAAATCTGAAGTCCTCAGCCTGGCATTCAGGGCCTCTCCCAACCAATCCTCCCAGCTGTGCTCATCATTTGAACACTCCTTGCACCTTCACACTCTAATCAGGTGCCTGGTACATGATCTACCCATGAGGTATCTTTAATCAATGCATTTTTTACAACTCACTAAAATACATGTTTTGCCTCCTGCCTCCCTTCTCAGGCTCTCAGCCCTGGGGCTTCCATCTCAGAGACACAGCAGTGGTTACACCGTCATCGATTCTCTAGCTACTGCAGGATGCTGGCCAACTTCACTGGTGAGGCTATCCCTTGGCCTCCGTTGCTGTGGGGTGGGTGGGCAGGACTCCCAAGTCTCTTTGTTTTGTTCCTGGCTTACTAAACAAATAGCCAATACCTAGCATTTTTATGGCTTTAAGATCTGTAAAACACTTTACATATATCATTTGATCCTCATAACTAACCTATTATAGGTGCTATTATTATTTTCATTTTATAGATGAAGAAACTGAAGTCAAGAAGCTAAGTGACTTTGCCCAGGGTCATACAGCTACTATGTGTCTGATTCAGGATTTACACTCGGGTCAGCCCGATTCCATCCTGTAAAGTGGGGCTAGGGCAGCTAGATGCTGCAGGGGACAGAGTGCTGGGCCTGGAGTCAAGAAGACTCAACTTCCTGGGTTCAAATCTTTGCCTCCGACGCGTACTAGCTGTGTGACCCTAGGCAAGTCACTTAACCTGTTAGCTTCAGTTTCCTCATTTGTATAATGAGCTGGAGAAGGAAATGGCAACATCTCTCCAGTATCTTTTCCACGAAAACCCCAAATGGGATCATGAAGAAGTGGGGCTAACAAGACTTGCATTACTGGCAGTAACAATAATGGCTAGCATTTATATAGTACTTTAAGGTTTAGAAAGTACTTTTCAAAGATTATTCTCATTTTTTCCTCATAACCACCCTGAGTATTATTGTTATTATCCCCAGTTTACATTTGAGGAAAATGAGGCAGACAGATTAAGGGACTCACCCAGGGTCACACAACTAGGGTGTCTGAGGTTAAATATGAATGCAAGTCTAATGCTTTCTCCACTGCGCCACCTAATTGCCTACACTAAGAACGACTGAAGAGAATGCTCTTGATGGTGAAATACTCACCTGACAAGAGCTTCTCGATCTTAAGTCAATTATCAATTTCACAGAAAACCATATTACACTGTCCTGGAGATACAGTATATATAGTATACATAGCTGGAAATACAGATATATTAGGGTGGTGTCTATTTATTATAATTGAGTTAAACTCAGTCAGGCAGGCTCATTAGATCGCGAGCTCCTTGACAAGTCTTTTGTCTCTACTGGTATCCCTGAGTGCTTAGTGCAATGCCTGGCACACATCTGGGTGCCAATCATTAAACATCATGTCTACTGACTGAGCTCAAATCGTGTCTCTTAACATGCTTGTGTGACCCTGGATAAATCACCTATGTGCTCAGTATACCAGGTAACTCTCTAAGCCTGAGAGCAGATAATTACCTGCATGAGAAGGCGCAAGGTGCATTTGTGTTCTGATAGGACTTTTTGGAAAATCCTTCTAGACCCAATTCCACAAATATTAAGTGCCTTCTAAGTGCTAAGCATTTTGGATACAAAGACAAAAAAGTGCCTGCCCTCAAGGAGCTTACATTCAACACTAAGAAATCAATCTTTAATATTGGAATTTTAGACCGTATACTCCTCCCCAAGCCTCTGATGTCTTTATAGGTGCAGATTTGCTAAAACTCTCCCGCCAGGACCTCATCCAGATTTGTGGAGCTGCCGATGGAATCCGTCTCTCCAATACCCTGAAAGCCAGGTACTAAATCTGGCACTGCCCACTTACCGAGTTCCTCAGTGCTTGCCAGGCCTCTTCCTCTCTACCCCTCTCCTCGCTTCAGATCCCAGCTTGTCCCACCTTATGCAGGAAGCCTTTTCCCCTTGTGTCTTCCCTTTGTTATCATCTCTAGTCTGCAGGTTTGCCTTCATCAGGCTGTGAGCTCTTTTCGAGTAGGGCTGTCTTTCACCTCTTTTCGAGTAGAAGCTGTCTTTCACCTTTTTTTTTTTCTATCATTAGTGCTTAGCACAGTGCCTGGCATGTTGACTAATGGGAAGATAGGGCATCAGCTAGCAATGATCTCATCTGGGGGTGGGGGTAGGAAGCTGAACTCCCTCATCCCTCGTTGCTAGTAGCTAGTTAGGTCAGTTACTCCTGGTCCCAGCCTGGCACCTGCAGAGGCCCTTCAGGGGCCATGGAGATTGTTTCCTATGGTGTGTGGTCAACGATGGTGGGAGATGACTGTAGGGAAGGGAGAGGTTAACTAACAGGTCGTATCTCTGGTCCAGGCCGATCCGTCCCAGACTTACCTTGTATGTGTCTCCAGAGACCCTGAAGCCAGGAAGTGAGACCCCACGGAGTCCAGACTTGGGTACAGATGCCATTTCCATTACTTCTTTCTCCCACCAGGTAGAACCACAGATATGGAATCCCTTCCTGATGCCTATGGGGCTGGGGAGTTTGTGTGATACCCAGTTTGTCCTCATTGCGGCCCAGTGGTGGTCTGCTACCAGCTTTGTCAGGAACACAAGAGGTCTTCTCTCCTGAAAAGTCAGATTCCTTCCTTCTCTTGCTCCTAAACCCTGAATGAACGCTCAGTCTTTCCTGATTCATGAACTTTGCTCTAATATCCTGTTACATAACTTACTTTTGATTCACAAGTTATTTCATCTGGGACTATACTGTACTCCTCTAAGAACGTTAGCTCCCTGAGGGGAGGTACTGGGGTTTCCAAGTTAGTTTTTTTTTTTCCCTTCTGATTGCTCTGCATTGGGTTGAAAGCAGTCCTGGATGTAGGTTAGTGATGATGCAAGCCCCCTCAAACTGTTTGTACTTTTCTTGATCCAGTCTCAGATTGCCAACATCCCCTGGTCCTGTCTTTCCCTGGACCTTGGGTCATTTACTCCCTCATCCCACTGCCTCTAGGGTCTTACCAGCAGGTTTATCTGGAGGAGCTCAGCACTGCTGAACTGACTGGAAAACTGGCTGAACTCTTGTCTCTCCCAGCCAATCAAATCCATCAGCTATTTCACAAAGGCCCAACTGGTATCCATGTACTCATCAGCGACCTGGTAAGAGGGTCACTGCATCTTTTCCTCTGTTACCACACCCTTCCAAGGGAACAGTGTGTGTGTATTTGTCTCTTTTGGACCTTAAGATACCCTCATACATTCTTCAGCCACCCATTCTGGTGTCTTTCCAGGGTTTAGACATTTCCCCTCTGATACAATCTCCCTTATGCTGGTTTGTCTAGATTTGTCCTGACTTAGAGGTGGGAGTATCTAAACCAATTTCTCCTTTCCTAACTCAACATCCTCTTCTCGACTACTCTGTAGGTGGTCCAAAATCTGGTGGATGAATCCTATTTTGTGGCTGTGGCAAAGAAAGGTAGGAGTACTGAGGGGACAGGCTGGCAAAAGGTGACACCTGTGTGAGGGCCATATCTTACTCAAACATTTAAACACCTACTATGTGCCAGATGTAGAAGCAGGGAGAAGCAACAAGTACAAGACAGTGTGGTGTAGTGGATAGAACTGATGGTAGTAGAACCAGACCACCTGGATTTGAATTCCCACCCTACACTTACTGTGTGTGACAGGGCAAATCACCTGAACTCTCAGCATTCCAGGCTGATAAATCACATGCTCATTTACCATCTACAATAATGAAGGGAATTACTCAGTGGGAGTTCCCTACATATCCGCCAGCACATTGCTGCACTCCAGACTATGGTCTAGGTAGGGAAAGGAGTACTAACAACATAAAACAATTTTAAGTGCCAAAAGAGTGACACCAAGTATGCTCTAGAATGAAGGTTCTATACCTGGGGTCTATGAACTTTAATTATTTCAATATAATTATTTCCTTCTATACATTTAAAAACATTACTCTGAAAAGGAGTCCAAAGGCTGCACCAGGTTTCCCAAAGTATCTCAAACACAAAAAGGATTAGAATTCATTTTTCAGGGGCTCAGAGGAAGGTGAGAACACTGGACTAGGATTACAAAGGATGTTCACAACACCGTGAGCTAGGTAGTACAAGAATTATATCCATTTTACGGATGAAGAAACTAAGGCTGCTCAAGGAGGTTAGGTTCCTATCTTACCTAGGGGTCATACAGTTGTAGCCATTAAGTGCCATGGGTCCCAAATGGGGAGATGTTACTGTGTATCTGAGTATTGAAGGAGGGCTTCCTGGAAGTGGGCTGTGAGCTGGGCTTTCCTTCATCAATTCAGGAAGAGGGAAAAGATAATGAAAGGGGCATCTTTGGTTCCTTCCTATTATCTCATGTCCTGGACCACTTGGTCTATAGGGTTGGGGGCGTATCAGTTCTGGGGACAAGAGCACCTACTTGAAAGTTACCCCTTTTTCTATTTCCAGTGCAGAATCCAGATGGCTACCATTTGTTTCTGAGTTAGGCTCCTGATAGGGTATCCAATCAAGACCAGGAAAAACAAGCATTGGGGATATAACCACAACATAAGCTGAGCCATAAGTTAGGCCCTAATTGTGGCAAGAAATAAATTAAAAACCCCAGCCAATTACTTGAGACTGGTGCATGTGTCAAGCAGTTGTCACTGGCTTCTGCTCTCCCCTTCCTGGAGAACAGGAAAAAAACGGCAAACACCGGCTTCCAGGCTTTTCATTCTCGCTTATTAGCAAGGGAGGTAGATGGAGTCCTGGGCTCAAAGGACTGGCATTATCCAGGCTGCACCAGGAACAGGCGATCTGAAGGAACTGGCACTGAGGACTAGCCACGAAGTATTGGCTGCCTCCTGATGGAGTCTCAAATCTTCATGTGAAAGAGACCGTCCATGAACATTACTGTGTTAACTCAACTGCTGGCCTACCTACACTTGTTCTGTACCCTACCCTTTTTTCTCCTAAGTCCATTAAAAAAAGCAAAAAACCTTATTTTTTTTTTATCATGGTTGCAGAGCAGACTTCTAAAAATTTTCAAGGTGCCAAAGTGGACCCCAAGGTTTGGTTACTTTGTCACATCTGTGCCAAGAGGCCAGTGGGACCCATTCTGGCCAGGGCTGGGACAACCTTGTGGCTATGACTTTATCTTCTATTATGCTTTGGACCGCAGAACCAAATGCTCTGCAAGGCCTATTCCCAACCCTTGGTCCCAAGCAAAGTCTCATTAACAATCCAGTACACCTGTTTTTAGAATGTGTAAGTAACATTAGCTTTGACTCCTTACTAGTTGACATTCAAAATCAAATATTCAAATGACTGGGTTTTAAAAGTTTGATTCTGAAAGAATTTGGATTATAATCTATAGAGATATCTATAAAGTATTGCTTCAGTCTAGAAAAGGAAAGGTATGATGTGTAGGGGAAGAAATTGGCTGTAGTCCTGGGTCTTAGCCTTGTCATTAACCAGCTGCTTGGTGAAATGAGGCAACTGGACTGGCTGGCCTATCTCTAAGGCTATCTCCAGATTTATAATGCTGTAAGTCCTTGAAATGCTCCTTGAAATGTTTACTTTAATCCAATTTCAGTCAGAAATGTTGAGGTGGGCACAAGCCTTCACTGTAACAGAGGATGACAGTTTTAAGACCCAAGGTGTAGGGAAGAAATTTTTTTTTAAGAGTATCAGGAAGCCCATATCTTAGCTCAAATGGCCGGCTGACTATTTTTGGTTGGGAGCCAGTGAAGAAGGTAGTTATGGCCATTGATAGGAGGAAGGGTATGGAAACTAGCTGGTTTCTGTTGTCATAGATTAAGTGCTGAAAGGGACCCAAGGTCATGTAGCCCAGAGGTGTCAAACTCACACCTACCTAGGGCTGCCTGAACCAGATTAAAACATAATCGGGAAATGTTTAACAAAATTTAAAAAAATACAACATAGGTAATGTTAGTTTGTGGTTTTCTAAGTCACTCTGTGGCCCACAGGTATCCCTTTCGATTTGAGTTGGATACTACTGCTCTAGTTCAACCCTAATTCAGACACCCAAAGGTCACGAATGTCAGAACTGGGGCCTAAACTCCTCTTCTGATTAAAAAGTTTAGCCTTCTTTCCATGGCAGCCCTGTCTTTCCCCCACCTTTGAGGCTCATAAGTCTTCCCCACTCTATGGAAAAACATTGCAACAGATGAGGAAAAATAAAATGGGGAGAGAAGGCTGGGATGGGACTTCCCTTCCCCTTCTTCTGTAACAGCCAAACAGGGATAATGATTCCTACCTGAAGGTATTTCTGAGGGTAGTGGGTTCCACAGGGGCAGTGTGTAGGGAGAAAGGCTTTATTTCTGCTGCTGGCTGGCCCCCTTGGTTCCTATGGTCTGTTTGTCAACTTCCCCACCCACAAATCCTGCAGGACAGGGTTAGGGAAGGGAGGGCATCACTTTTATTGTCTGGCATAGTTATTTCAAGAGTTGCCAGATTCTCCATTTCCAGAAATAAATGAAATAAGTTTCAGAATGAAAATGAATAAAGGCCAGGATGTACCTGAGCCAGAATGGAGGAGGCCTATTGCTCAGCCTCCTCCAGATTCCCACTTCTAAGCCCCAGAAGTCACAAACCACCACTCAGTCAGGTCATTTCCGCAACAAAATGAAAAGTCTTCACAGCTTATTTCCTTTAATTACATCATAAAACAATATTAGAACGTACATGAAACAATAATAGTTACATAACAATTTACTTTATATATATATTTATATATATATAAAAAAAACCTTTTTTTTTCTTTTTGAAGTCCAAAGATTTCATCAGATGAAAGCAAAAGAAATACTCTATTGCAAACCCTGGATTTTTTTTTTTTTTAAAATAACCCTCCCCCCAACCCTCAAACTCAAAATAATAGGGAGGAAAGAAACACAGCCATGTGCACAGCTAAAGGAATCTTGTGTTAAGTAAAAATTATGATTCTGGGAACCATGGCAGCCTCGACAACTTGTTAAGAAAGCTTTGTGAATGTACCTGGAGGAGAAATATAATTAATTCGGCAGCAACTCTGAGCACATGAGAAAACACTCTGGGTAAAGGAACCTGTGGAATTTCAGGCGGCAGGAATGTCTGGAATCTGAATGCCATCCGGACCTGCTCCGCTTCCTTCCAACGCGGGAATGAGGAGCATGTTTGTGGGGGTGGTAGCGCTGGAAGAAGGTACTGAAACACACTGTGGTTTGGTAGAGACAAACTACCCTCCAACAGCACCATCTGTCTGCCCTTTGCCCCAGAGGCAATATCGCAGCAGAATTTCATAGGCCTCTGGGCCCTACACAAGAAGAAAGGCTGCTCAGTCTATGGCTCTTGGGGGCACTATAAAATGGGCAAACGTGAACAGAGCAGTTGGCTAGTGCAGAGTTGCCAGGCTGTTTGGGAACACCCTCCAGGAAGAGAGAAAATAAAGCCATAGCCATCTTTGGGAAGTTAAATGTGGTACAGTAAGAAGCTGACACCACTGACATCCTCCTCTCACTTGCTCTCCCTTCCCAAGCGCCCTAAAAGAGGAGGAGCGGGCTAGCTTAGACTGTTCTCCTCAGGGCAGGAGACTTCAAGGAGCTGCTTTAGGTAGGTCTTGTAAACATGCCAGTTGGCTCATAAAGGACTCAGAGGTTAGTGTTTCATTGTCAGGGGAGACGTCAGGCTTACCTCTCCTCACCAAGCCTCCGGTCAGTCAGAAAATAATAGCCAGTGATGCATAAAATAACTTATTTTTAAAGGAGGGATTGGGCATGGGTATGAGGGGAGAGGTTTGGGAGAGAGGAAGAACATCCTAATACATAAACCCAGGAAAATAGCAGCAAAAGCTTTGCTCATTACAGTGTTATACAGCACTAGGGAAGAAAATGATCCAAATCTTTATTTTAAAAAGTACGACTGGTCAAATTGTGCCAGTCAGCTTTTGAAAGTAGGGCTTGTTAAGACTTTATTTTCTCATCCTCCAGTGCCTTAAAAAGTAAGAGTAACAAGCATTATTTCAGGGGCCAAGAAATCAGGGCCAAGATAAGAAACACATACGTGTGTAGAGACACACCTACATGTACATGAGCAGCAGTTGTGTGGATTTCAGAGAACAGTGTTGGTAGGCAAGAGAAGCTGCTGTGGAAGAAATGTTCGGGGCAGTTTTCTTCTGGGACAACCATATCTCTTAAAGACTTCCAAAGGCCCTTAGAAGAAAGCATGGACATGGTTTAAAAAAATCTTTCAGAAGGTGGCTTCTTTCAGATCACACTGAGGATTGGCCAACCTACATTCTTCCAGATCCCAAAGGGGGAAGGTCCCAACTGCCACCTAACCAACACTTGCCCTAGCCCTGACTAAGCAGTCAAGTACCACTGGCAACTGTTTCACTGTACTAATTTTGACACAGCTGGGACTTAATAAGAACTTGTTCATGGGTTGGTTCTATTTTTAGATACAATATTCCAAAGAAGGGAAATGTCACTTGATTAGCAATCCCTTCCAACCTCCAACATATACTTCATACAGACTGAAGAGTCAAACCAAGGGGGAGAGGGAATGAAAATACTACTGGTCATTAACAACCTTAGCATGAAAAGGACAAAGCATAGGGTGGAAGGGGAAGGGAATAATCATGAAGTAGGAAAATTATCTACAATATGATGATACTGGGTGTTTCCAGGCCAGGAACTGACCCAAAGGGCAGATTCTTCTACCCTAAGGCAAGACACCCTAACAGTCATTTGCTTCTTTCTTAACTTAATGCTTCCCTGACCAAAACGAAACAAAAATAAACAAGAAACACAAATCCAAGGCAAAAGACCCTAGAAGATACTTTTATCAAAAATGACCAGAAACCGAATTTTTACAGAATTTGAAAACTTGCAGGGGCTTATCAATCCTTGCAGCCTCTCCACTGATGTGGCCAAGAAGACACAGTGGCTTGGTTGTTTTTTGAAATGTTACTATAAAGCCAGAAATGAAAATAGCACAACTCTTTAATACCACATCTATGAGCAATTATAATGAAGCCTGTTCTGCTTAAACTTAAGTAGGACTCCACTGGGACACAACTATATTCACCCAAGTACAGCTTGGGACTAGTTCCTGAAATTCCTGAGCAGTACAATAAGCCCCAAAGAGGAAAAGATACTGATAAACAAGAGGACCTGGAAGAATCCCATGCTAAGAACTCATTCACTTCATAAGGATTTTTCTAGTTATATGGAAGGCAATCTATCAGAAATGAGAGGGCTGGGTGATGGCAGGTGGTTCTCAATTTATATTCTCCCTTTTACCCCTCCCTTGTAGAACTACAGGCTTTTAGGGCTCATCTACGCAATTAATTATGTAAGTATATAGAGGTTAGCACTGCTATCTTCCTGAATTGTCTGGGTAATACAACCTGGCCTTACCAGACTTGTCAAGCTCACTATCAATTTAGTGACTACAGTTGAATGGAAAGGGGACTGTTCACATCTGTCCTCTGTCCATTCCTTTGGGGCTGTCGGGCCTCACTGGTCAGTTCTACTTCAAGATCTACAACTCAAACATTTTACCTTTGCCCAAAGGTTCTGCTAATCAAAAGGTCTGAGGAAAATAAAGCACAACAGCTAGGAAGCAGATGGAGAAGACACTGAAAAGTGTTTCAGAAGTGCCTAAGGGTGTCACAACAGGAATAGATATCCTCACTGAACTCCTCATTCTACCCTTCAATAACTGAGGCAGCAGTAACAACACATATTTTTTCCAATCTGTATCCATGTAGGGTAATTAACGGTGGTGGTATGAGTAGTCTTGGGCAGCAGCAGCAATTTAAAGATAGTGGCCGGGGCTCAATCATAATGCATTAATAGCATCCCTCTTCCTGCCCACCCTTCTCCTCCCCCCACACACAAAAAAAAAACCTCTCCACAATTTTATTAAGAAATTTCCTCAACATATTGTTGATATGGATAGGAAAAGGAAAACTGGATAAGGACACACATTCTCCCCATTCCAGCTTACAATAACCAAAGAGATGCTCTTCTCCCCTTCATTAAACTTCAAGGTACTTTTCTTTTTATGTCACCTCTAACCCTCTCCCTCAGTCCTACCATTGGTGCACTGAACAACTGGCAACAGTATCTTACAAGGCAATACAAAAATATGGTTGCATTTTCTATATTTTAAGTTCTGGTTAATTTGGCATTATTATAGTTACGCTTTAAATGTTCAGTGAGGGCCAAAATCTGGATGAAGACTGCATGAAAAGTATTTTGCAGATATCTCTCCAGAATATATAATTAAAGGAATATGTAACAAGTTTCTGACTTGTATCTGATTAAAAATTAGTCTATGATGGATATGAAGATTATTGGAAATTTACAAAGATCATTTAAAAGTCTCTTTAAAATAGCTGTAGGCTCCCAAAATGTTAGAGATGAAATTAGAAAATTAGAAAAGAAAAAACATACACAGAGAAATATGAGTACAACGTACTTTCATATTCATCATAGCCTCAATATTGGGGAAAAAAAAAGATTGAAGTCAGAACCCTTTTCTCCTAGGATACATCCAACGGAAAGTTTGCTTTCAAGCTCATTTCAGTTCAACAAACTTCAGATCTAGTGACAAATGGTCTGACTCACCAGAAAATGGCAGAATTCAAGGCTGATGAGCATTTTTTTGGCTATACACAAGCATAACTATGAGGGAAAGGCACTGGAGACATCTGATATAACCTTAGCATTGCTGGGACAGGCAGAGGCTTTATTTAGAGGGTAAAGAGGAATATCCATTTAAAAAAAAAAGCCTTGAGGGGAAAAAGTGTAGAAATAAAATCAGGAAAAGCAAGCATTATTGGTTGAAATTTGAACAGAGAGAAAGAATGTTTAGAAAATTGATGACTGACATTCAAGAATTCACTTCAGTTGGCATAGCACCAATGTCCCCTGGCTTGTGGTAACTAGTTGGGTAGGGCTGTTTACCTCCTCTTTTTTTAATCCTGAAACCATTTCTGTAAAGAAACTCTCAAGTCACACAGACCCCTTTTTCTCTACTATAGGTGACACATCATATAGGTGACAAAAAAAAAAAAGCAAATGGCCTTTAAGAGGGAGAAGGATTTGATTTAGGAAACATCATATAGGTGACCAAAAAACATGCAAATGGCCTTTAAGAGGGAGAAGGATTTGATTTAGTAAAGACCTCTTAAGATCACAGCTATTGACAGGATTTTAGATATGGATGAATGGGGAGAACAGTAATTTCAAGCTTCTTTCCACTCAACATAAGATCACTACATCCTATGTTTTTGGAAGCTACAATAGTCTTCTCCAAGGAAAATCTTTTAGGGCTTAGTTTGAATGAAGACAAGGGGATTTTATCTAACAACACTGGAGCAAATCCTTTCCAAGCTTAAAGGGATCAGCATTGTCATCAGAAATAAATAAATCCTAAAGCTAAATCCTAATGCTTAGAGCATGAAATTAAAATGGCCAATGCAACCCATTTCACAGACTTAATGTACCAGAAGCTTCATTCAAATTCTCCTCCTTATGATTCCTAAAAGACTGGCACTCTTCTTTCTATAGCATGGATTACCAGGTCAGGCCAAATCAGTCCTAATCTGCATCTGGGCCAGATCTCTATACTTTTAGAAATCAAGTCTCCAATAAAACACTAAATAGGAGAAGCTGTGTCCTTGAAAAGAAATAATTTTGATTTTTGGGAAAGGCGTTTCAAATTGACATCTGTTTACTATAGGCACTGGAAGGCCTATAAAAGTCCACTGCTGCCACCTACTTCCTTCTCCTCTCCTCCCCAACTGAACTGGCAAAGAATTTTATGATCAGCTTGCCAGATGTGAACAACATGCATTTTTCTGGGGGGAAAAAAGGCCCTAAATTAGTCTCCAGTATCCCCTTCCCCATTACACTTTTCAAAATTTAATACAAATTATTAGCTATGGTATCAAAACTTAACCTCCTGGATCAGTCCCTTTACAAAGTTGTTACGGTTTGTTATTTTTTTTAGATATTTCCAAAATTAGGAACTGAGAAGAGAAAAAGTTCTTTGTGGTTTTAAGCACAGTCAGTTCAAGATCAGAATTAAACACAATAAATGGCAGGCAGTGCCACAGGCTCTTTCCCAGCATTCTCTCATCTCCTGAAGCCTTTCCAATTAATGAACAAACAACCCAAGCTAATTCCAACATATGCTGGTGGTCTTAGGAGAGGGAGCCATCACCTGTAATGTGAAAAATGACCCTTGGAGCTGCTTAGATCAGTCAGAAAGTGACAAAAGGTTACCTTGACCATATAAATAATCTCCTATCAAACAACAACAAAAAGCTCCAACTCTGGAGGCCTAGAAATCTGTTACTTGTGCTTTAGAAAATCATCTCATTTTTCCTAATTCACTCCAAAAACCATTCTCCCTCAGTTCTCAAGTACTGAAGTACATGGGGAGACAAGGACCACTTTCATCTGCATTGATTATCTTAAGCCTTCTGAGGGCTGCTCCCAATATCCTCCAGGACCCAATCCCACCGGGTTATGCTTATGCTGAATATCTGGCGTGCATTGACAAGACTGGGTAAGTGACTTCTTTAGGAAGGTTTTGCTGGTCCTTTGAATGACCAACATCAGACCTGAAATTGATAACCCTAAATACAACAGCCACACACTACCATAGGGTTCAGGGTGGTGTAGGAAGAAGGGGAGAGACACATAAGAAAAATCGGCAGCACTGACAGCAATGTGTTTCATCTAAGTATCCTTCCTGAGACAAAACACTTAGCCAACATCAAAGTTAGCAATATTGTTGAGCGTACATAAATCTTAGTTCACAGCATGAGATTCAAAGAAGGGTCAGGGGTTTTCAGACTGAGGTTTGGTATTTTTCTCAATCAATTCTGCTTAAAAAATACTGCTCTCTCATGCCTTAGGAAAGACACTCGACTGATTATCAGGATTCAACTCAAGGAAACATAGGGAGCATGATGATGATGAGCACAGCCACCTGAATATGTCACAAACTATGTTCTCTTCTTAAGGAGGAACTCAAAAGGCAAAAATATGAATTGTTTCCGAAAGAAAGGGGCAAGAGCTTATATTTAGCTCATTTTCCCTCACCTGCTCTTTAGAGCTTCTCATTAGACTGAGCCTTAGGCAGTCTTTCTAGTGGTAAAAAAGTAGAATTTTAAAACATTTTTACTAATAATTAATAACTTTTCTTTAAAAAGTGTCCAGCAGCCTCAACTAAATCACCCCAAATGGAAAACTTTAAACAAGAAGACAGCAAAAAAGACAAAAGTTGAGCAGGCGACAGAGTGCGCTTCAGCAAGCAACACAAAGAGAAAATGAGACACGGACACAGACAAACACACTCAAAGACAGCGAAGGAGAACACCACAATGAGTAAGTGAACAAAAGAAACAAATTTGGGTATCAGAGATTTCAAGCTAAATCACTGTAACCATCTAGGAAATCTCTGAACTGAATGCTCTGACTGATGAGCCTTCTATGTGGGCATGCTCAGCATGTTGGTATGGAAACAAGGAAGCAGAGAAGCACTGTAATACAGTCTCATGAATGGGTGCCATCTTCATTCTCTTATAGGAGGAAGGATTTTTCTTTCTTTCTGGTCCCTGGATGCAACATTTACTGTATTTGTCCATACTTTCCTTCTCTTTGGAGAGCTCTCATTAGTGTTCTGACATCCCCAAAAGAAACCCCAAACAAAAAGAACAAACAAACCCCAGCAGCAGTGACCCTGGGTTTGCTGGAATGCCCCCCACCTTGGATTCTGATTCTCTTCTGAGCATGCCCAATAGGAATGGTTTCAAGTTACACCAAACTACCTGTCAGAAAAAAGCCAACACAGATTCAAGTCCCACTGTCACAGAGTACGTCAGCTGGAGTGGACGGTGTGGGTATATATGCATGTGTATGTGTGGCTTGGGGGATCCGGACACAGCCCTCTATTCTGGCCCTTGCTCAGAACACTGGGGTCGATTCCGCTGGAGAGACTCCGTGGTAACTCTAGAAGTGTCATTAAATACTTAGTTCGCCAAGGCTGATCGCCTCCAATGTCATAGAATGATGCAGCATCTGCAGAAGCGTTGTCTGCTGCCCCCTACTGATGGAGGCGGAGTGACGGGTGCAAAGTAGGCATGAACTTTTATATTGGGTAAATGGGTCTGAAACAAGATAGAAACATTACCCAGGACTGCAAAGACATGATCTGCAAACATAACCAAGTTTACCTAATTTCATTGAGTCTCAGTATCTATATCAATAAAATAAGGAGACTCAACAGAATACTCAAGCCCACACTAAAGGGATAGCTAGAGTATATTGGAAGAAATTAAATTTGGAAGAAATTAAACATGGAAAGTTAATGTTACTATTATTACAAATACATTAAAATGTCACACAAATATTGGAGGCAAGAGATTTTGTTCCCTGAAACTTTAACTGTCATTTTGGAAGGCTGTTTACATCATGCACGTGGGCAGTAAATAACAAAATATTTCAGCTGGCCTGTGGCATTGCTTTTCTCTTGGTTGAAAGAGGAACATGCAATTGCAATTATACTTCTCAAATAGAAATTACTTGAATCAAGTGCATGTTCTTAGCCTATCAAGTCTGAGAAGAGAGATGGGCAGGTCAAGCACTCTCTGAAGGATAATGCTATGTTCTTGATGAAGTACTGGGCTACTTTTTATTGGATGAGTGCTAATAAATCAACCTGGGATGGCTCCAGGGTTACAAACCTTTTCCTCTCTCCTCAATCCCCCCTCCCTCCATCCAATACTCACAGCAAATGACCTTAATTTCTATTTCTCTAAAGGGATTAAAGTCATTACCACTGAATGATTCCTAATGCCAGGAATACTTTTCCCTCTGCATCCCAAAATCTGACATTTAAAATCTTACTCATCTTTTAAGCCCTAGTTTAGATGTTACCTTCTCTATGAAGTCTTCCCTGATGTCCTTGTTAGAACTTACCTCACACACTGAATAAGGAATAAGGACAAAGTGTTATTTTGTATTAGTTATTTTAACATACATGTTAATATCTGTACTGTCTCCCTCTATTAGACTGTAAACTCCATAGAGGTATTATCTGTTATCTACTCTGTAGCACTTAGTGTAGTGCTCTGCAAATAGATAGTGCTTAATATATGCTTGCCATTGCTGTAAGAGGGTGAAACTAAATTCTCAAACTCAACACAGGGAAATCTTTTTGATGTACTATTTCTCTCTCACAAATCACCAAACTTCTATGATCTTGGAGCAAAAATCTCGACTGGAAAGCCTGCTAGGGATGCACTTTGTTCATGTCCTCTCCTCCTAACAGATCTATGTTAAAATATAAATCCAAATCTGTAGAAACACTTAGCATGGTAATGATAACCACAGTTTTGAGGGTGATACTGCTGCTTCTTACCCTGAGTCTCTTGATTCCAGCCCGGGTGATTTGCTGACAGTCATACAATTCTATCCTCTCAAGACTATGGCAGCTCTTCAGGTGCTCCAGGGATGCATCTGTGATAAGTGGACAATTGTCCAGCTCAATCACCTCCAGCTGGTCGTGGGCACAGGCTCCATTCCCCAGGTGACGGATTCCATCGTCTGTAATCAGCTCACAATGAGACAGACTCTAGAGCCAAAAAGAACAAGAAGAGGGTTGGAGTAATTCATGAGCACTACATGGGATTCAAAAAGAGATCTGATCTTATTTTAGGGTACTGAGAATATACTGTGAAGATACCTGATAACAGTCAGTCCGTGAATTAAAAAAGGCACCCCACAAAAGGTCTGTTTTCCAGAGCAAATTAGGCCAGAGGGTCCCTGGCTTTTCTGAAGCTCAGGCACTTCTTGAGAGTTAGTACGAAATGTTGGGTACCTGGTACAGCATCACATATAGAGCAGGTACCTAGTGACGACAATTTCTATACCTAATACCTCTCTTTGGACATTCCTTTATGTATAAGATTAATTTTAAAGTTTCCTTTTTGCTTTACTACTAATAATAAGCCTTTTCTCCCTCTTTTCATGGCCTTTTCCACTCTCTCCTTCCCCCCTGCCCCAGGCTTCAATTTCTCTTAAATAACTGGTTCCTTCTATCTCTCAAGGATTGCCATGTGAAGTTCAGAATCCTACAGATTTCCCACTTTGGGAAATGCAAACACACCAAAAATGAACTTGAACACAGCACTGATGGCTAGGGTGCCTTCAGTACTACTGGAAACTGTAGTGACGAAAGCTTCTCCAGCAAGCCTTTCCTTGTTCTTTCTTGCAGGTACATCTGGCCTGGAGGTGAGAAGCAATCTATGTTCAAGCCATCTCACCCCCGAGCTGCTGAAGATTTAAACATCATTCACACTGGACTGTAATTCGCAGAGGGCATCTCAGCTTCTCCATGCCAGTTATTTCAGTCTCCAAGCGTTGGTTCAGGATATGTTTAACTCTTCCAGCTCCTACCTTATCTTCCCCTTCACTTAGGTCCTCCCCTGGTACTCTGTAGGCAATTCGGAGAAAAAAAAAAAACCCTTTCCAAAAATGCAGCTAATCATATATCATTCTCATGAAAGTGAATTCATGGTACTGGTCCTGAAGAAAAGATTAAATTATAAATAGTTACGCAGATCAAACTCACCAACACCTGAAGTCTTGGACAGTGTATAGAGAGCTGAATTAATGTGCTATCTGTTATCTGAAAGAAACATATGAAGAAGTCTTTCTTAGGATTCTTTCTTTTTAAATCATCAAGCATTGAGCTTTCACTGGGTATACGTTCTGTGGGGACACAGATGAACAAACGATACAAAGACAAAATGAAAGGGCCCTTGCCTTCAAAGAGCTTACGTTTGATTGGGGAAGAACATGTACATACAAAATTGAATAAAAAATACGTGCAAATTAATTTCGGTAATGGGTGTGGGTAGTGGGGCATTAGTCCAATATGAAGATTCCAATCCCCAGCGGGCATGTGTGATACATGGAGCCAATAGGGACAGAGCCGACAGTGATAGGCACAAAGAAAGAGAGTGACGGGGAAGGCAGTCTGTGACTCCCTTACAGGGTTGTCAGTGGAAGACATTAGGTCATCATACCCTTTACCCTTCACAGCAGCTATGATAATACTAATTTAAATATTATCCCTTGATCAAAAAGTTAAAAAGACAGGGGAGGGGATGACAAATGATAAATCCCTTCCTCCGTCTGGTGAAGCAGAGGGAGGTAGACTTGCAGTGCTCATCCTACAGTTTAGGCTTCTTTCCAAGTAGGACAATAAGCCTTGCTGAGGTTTCATTTCTGGCTGCTCTGGGAGTGAATGTGGCTCTATGATCAAAAAAAGTGACTTGGAAACATTCATGGGTCTTGAGCTATTTGGCCTATTGGCAGAAAGGGTACATACAAGAATATTCCATAGTTTGAATAGTTATTACTCTCTCCAAATGCCTAGGAAGCAGCATTAGCAATTGATCCAGATTAAGGTGCTGTCTTGGAGAAAGGTGAGGCAAAATGGGGACCTGTCACTATTTTGGAAATGAATGGCTTAAAATACAACAAATTTAGAATTAGAAGGGACCCATGTTAAATAATTTCTCCAAGTGAGTGAGATGATTCTTTGAAATTCTTTACCACACACGCCAATTTACAAAAGGTAAAAATGTCCATAAATAGTTCCTATTCCCAAATTACTTTAAAAAAAATTAAATTTGATCTTCCTAATTTACAATTCTGATCACATCACTCTTCTCTCTACCAAAGACCTTCCGAGGTTTCCTAATACAGTACTTACTGAATAAAGTATAAACTCTTGATTCTGGTATTCAAGGACCTCCATGACATGGCTCCAGCCTCTTTTCCCAGCTTATCTTTTTCTCCTCTCCCCTTCCACACAAAATGGACTTCATCATCTGTTCCTGGCCCTCTTGTCTCCTAAACTCAATTTGGGGATGTTTACATTCCTTTGGTTCAAGGTCTAACTCATATGTTACCTGCTCTATGAAGCTTTCTCTGATTGACTTTTCCAGATTCATCTTTCTCTCTTTGCAAACTTCTCATGTTATCAGTTTATATCTGGCACTTGTCCTTCACATGTGTCACACTGACCTTCCTATCACAGTTACATCTGTGGTTCTATATGAGTATGAACCTTTGCACATGTTCTGAGGTTTCCAAATGTTTGCTAAATAAAACATGGTTTTTGGAGTACATAAAAAGCATTTACCCTTGCTGTAAGTCATAAATTTTCTTCTTACTTTAACTGCTCTTTCTATTCCCATCCTCTTTTCCTCCTCAGTCTTCCTGCAAAGTTCAACCTGTGATTTCACCAACGTGGGCAATTCCCAGTGAGAATTCCCTCCAATGATTCAGATCAACAACTGTCTGTAACTATTCTATAAGGTTAAGTGACTTGTTCGAAGGCATAAGCCAGTGTGTCTAAGTCAGGATTAAATCCAGATCCTTCTGACTCCAAGGCTGTCCCTCTATCCATTCATTAGGTCATCCTGTCTCTGCTCCATCTATTAATGACCACAAGATTCTTGAATTAAATAAAATGCATTTCTATCACTGTTTGTGTGCATAGGGACCTAGAAAGATAAGGAAATCCTGACTCTGAAGTAGTACTCTCTACAGTCTCAGATGTTTAGGACTTGGGCTCCTCTGAAGCTTGGAAAGGTCAGAACACATATAATAAGAATTTCTTTCCTCAATAAAACCTTCAAACAAGTTTAGACATTTTTTAAAAAGTATGTTTTGGACATTCCTTATGCTCATCACAGTATTTTTGCAAAATTATAGCATTCCAGATAATGATTCAAAGTGTTGGAGCTCCTATCATCTTACCTGAACACATTCTTCTAGGTCCATTTTTTCTAGTTCATGGCAATTCTGTAAAGTGTAAACAAAATATCAGAACATGAAAAAAAACTGCAGAATCCAAGGAAATCTCAGAGATGATGTCATTCTAATGCCATCCTTATAGTTCAATTATTTTGGAGAACATTGATGTAACCAGGAGTCCTCAAATGTCTCAGCACTGAATAATTTACCAGTTCTAAGTCAGTCAGTCAACAAGCACTTATTAAGTGCCTATTATGTACCAAGCAAGGTGCTAAGCACTAGAGATTTAAGGCAAAAACATAGTCCAGAGGCAACTAGTGAAAAGGCAGACAGTTGGAAGATGGAATGTTGAGTATGAGGGACAGCAAGAAGGCCAGTGTCATGGGATTATATATACTAAGTGGAGAGGAGTAAAGTGTAGGAAGAGATCAGGTTATGAAGAGCTTTAAAGGCAAAGGATTTTATATTTGAGTCTAGAGGCAAAAAGGAGCCAATAAAGTTCACTGAATAGAAGAGTGACATGATCAAACCCACATTTTAGGAAAATTCTTTGGTAGATGAGTGGATGATGGACTGTAGAGAGGAGAAACTTGAGACAAGGAAGCCAACTAAGAAGGCCGCTGTAATCATCCATTATAAGAAGTGATGAGGGCCTGTACAAGGGTGGCAGCTGGGTAGAGAGAAGGGGACATGTGAGAGATATTCTTCGGACAGAAAGAAATGACAAGATTTGGCAAGAGTGTATATGTAAAGTGAGGGTGAGTCAAGGATAACAGTGAGGTTGTGAATCTGGGTGACCAGAAAGATGGTGGTGTCCTTGACAGTAACAAATAAGCTCAGAAGAGAGGAAAGTTTTCAGGGAAAGACGATGAGTTCAGTTTTGGACATGATGAGTTTGAGATGTCTAATAGGCAGAGAGTGATGCAAAGAGGCCAAGAGAGAAATCAGAGTTAGACAGACTGACCTGATAATTATCTGCATAGATACACAAACATTGAAGGGAGCTGATGAGATTACCAAGCTAGAGGGTACAGAGGGAGACTAGGGGCAGCTAGGTGGCACAATGGATAGAGTGCTGGCCCTGGAGTCAGGAGGACTTAAGTTCAAATCTGGCCTCAGACACTTACTAGCTGTGTGACCTGGGGTAAGTCACTTAACCCCCATTACCTCCCCCCAAAAAGAAACCAAACAGATGTTTCTAAAAAAAAAAAAAGTTTTTAAGTGGGTTAGAAAACTGTTGAGTTAGCTATTGTACTGTTAAAAGAAGGCAAAAAAGGGGGGGCGGTTAGAAAACTGTTAGCTTAGTTATTGTACTGTTAAAAGAAGGTTAAAAAAAGGGGCAGCTAGGTGGCACAGTGGATAGCACCAGCCCTGCAGTCAAGAGGACCTGAGTTCAAATCTGGTCTCAGACCAGGCACTTGACATTTGACACTTACCAGCTGTGTGACCCTGGGCAAATCACTTAACCTCAATTGCCTCAACAGGGAAAAAAAAAAAGGTTTAAAAAAAAAAGGTTACCAGGAGAAGAAGAGTGTCCAAAACAGAGCCCTGCGGGACATAACCACAGTTTGGGGACATTGGTGAAGGAAGATCCAACAAAGGAGACTAAAGAAGAGCAATCAGACAAGCACGAGAACAGGAGAGAACAGTGCCACAAAACCTAGAAGGAGAGAGTATTCAGGAGAAGAGGATGATGGACAGTGTCAAAGGCAGCAGTGTGATGAAGAAGGATGAGGATGGAGAAAAGGCCATTAAATTTAGCCATTAAGAGATCATCGGTAACTGTGGAGAGATAAGGTCAGAAGCCAAACTGCAGAAAAGAGTAAGAGGAAACATTGATTACAGAAGGCTTTCTCAAGGAATTTACTCATAAAAGGGAGGAGAGATATAGAAAGACAGTTAGCAGGGATGGTCTGATCAAGTGAGAATTTTTAAGGATAGGAGAAAAATGAGCAGCAAGGGAAGAGTAGACAAGGAGAGATTAAAGATTAGCGAGATAGGAAAGATGATAAAGGAGGCAATCTGGTAGAGAGGAGAGGATGTATGTGGATAAAATAGTTGAATGTGGAAAATTTTGCTAATAAAGAAATTCTTTCAAGCACGAAGAATTCTATAAAAATTATTTCCTTGGAGGTAGGCATGAATGTCTTATTTTTAGTGCTTTTCCATTAATTTTTAGATATGCTATATCCTAGGTCATGTTCCAATGTTGTTCCTAAAAGTCATGTCCCTTCCCACAAGCCATTATGCTAGTCAAAGCCATTCTGGTTTTAAAGAATCATCATACTTATAAAGCATTCCAAGATGGCAAAGTACAGAATAGCTAAAAAGTCTTCCTATTTTAAAGTCTAATATTTCTTTTAGCACTCAACTTACATTACAAACACTGAGACAACCAAATTAGGTTTCCATTTCTCTTACTTCAAGAATCTGTGATTTCATTGGTGTGGGTACTTCCTCCACCTATGAAGATTGCAACCCCTCTCTATTTTAGTACAGAGATCTCCAATTGGGGCTGTGGCACACCTAAAGGGGTAACCAATCAGAGGGTTCAAAGATGGGTCCAATTCCACCCTCTCCCCAAGAGCTAATCATGGGGTTTGTCTCCAATAATCATACCCCTCACCCATAAACAGCAAGCAACTTTCCCCTACTCCATCCCTCCCACAGTAGGCCTCACATAGCTGCATAAGCTTCCAGCTTCTCGCTTTCTCCAACAGCCTCTGAAAATAATTATGACCTAAACATAACCAGCACCCCACATTAACAGCTGCAAAAGCTAAAAACGTCACACCTCCCCTTATCTCCCTCACCAGGATAGCCACACCTAGCTCCCTTATCAATCCATGGTTGTGGCAGGTACCCCAAGGAGGCTTCTGTGATGAGGGGCAATGGCTAGTAAGAACAACTTCCCCACCCCTAGTTTTGTTTTCACTGAAACAGAATAAGCTACACCGATTAAGAGGACATGGATGGATTACAATGGGTATCATATCCTTCCTGTCTCCCAAGTTCTCAAACTTCTCATTATCCTTACAATGTAAGTGTGTCCCCTATTAAAACACTCATAACTTCACACTTAAATAGATGTAATTTCCCAACTCATATAAAATGTCTTCCAAATAAAGAGTTTCAGTGGGTTTTGAACTTATTTATTAAAAATAAAACATTACCATGTTTCAATAGCTTAGAAGAAATACCATTAACATTTTGCTAAAAGCAAAAACGGTTTTTATACCAATAAATAAATAATATACCAATAATAATGTTATTTTCAGAATATTTTATCCTTATACAGTAGTACACATAAATGACTTATAAATAACAAATATTCACATACTGGGAGTACGATTTTAAACTGCTTCATTAAACAGGTCTTCGTAAATTGCTGTGCCTTAAAAGAACGTGTGCCTTAAAAGAACGTATCCCTTGGTGACAAATCTGATGATTGCTAAATCTTTCTGAACATAGAATGAATCTCAGACAACAGGTAGGTTCTGTGAGGGCTGGCAAAGCTCATGAATCTAGTTTTGCTTCCACACCATAATGAGCTGTTTTCCTTAGAAAATACAGAAAGGTGGGGCAGCTAGGTGGTGCAGTGGATAGAACACCGGCCCTTAAGTCAGGAGGACCTGAGTTCAAATCTGGCCTCAGACCAAACACTTGTCACTATCTAGCTGTGTGACCCTGGGCAAGTCACTTCACCCTAATTGCCCCCCCCCCAAAAAATACAGAAAGGCCTCAGTAAATACAGTTAAAACTTATGAAACTATAGAGAATAGGTTTGCTGAATCAGATCACAGGAAAGCTTTTCATGGTCACACACTGCATTTCTGAAATTGTAGAGTGGTGAGACAAGTGAACTGAAACAGGAAGTTAGCTGTACCTTGGCTTTGACAGAAATTGGAAGGATTCTTCCCCTCCCTCTAAAATTAATATGCAAAACAAATCTTAAAACAGAGACTAATGACAATACTCACCCTAGCCAGAGTAGTGAAGCCCACATCTGTTAGCTGAGAACACCTTGCCACTTCTAATATTCTGTCCAAAAAGGAAAAAACAAAACAAAACAGAGGAAAGAGGGAAAATTAAGGTATTTGACTACTGAAAGCTATGACTTATAAAATCCATGCGGAAGGAAAACAATCTCCTACACCTTTAGGGTGACTTAACATAGAATAATATTCATAATCAAGCATTTCTATATATAGATTACTCTACCTGTTTTCATATCATCACCACAAAGAGGTCCTATAACAAATACCTTACTTCATGGTGACACAATGAAAGAACAGAGAAGAATACTTCTGTAACTGTAGTTAGTAACCCTAACCCTGAGTAATGTATTGAATGCCTTCTTGATGGCACAATGCTCACCCCCAGAGAACAGCTTGCTCCTGGAAAATGGTAGGGATTTGAACCTATGTTTGTTCCCTGGCACCAAAGTCAATTCTCTTCCTACTATACCAGACTGCTTCTTCACTAAGACACATCCACTAAAAGCTACTTGTTTGAATTACAGAGCCACTTCCCATTCCCAATCCTTAACTGCAACAGATCTTGAAGCCTAATACTCTGCCAAAAGCAGGCTCCCATAGATGCAAATTTCCTCAAACACAGATCCTCAGCAGGGAAAAGAGAGTAGCCCAATGCTAAACAGATAACTGACCTAACTGTCTGCACCCCTATTGTACCGCCCCCAAGAAACTTAGTAGTATGCCACCCCCGAGGCTCACAATCCTAAAGCAGTTAAAAAGAAGCTCTCTCTTGTTAGGCAGAGGCTGAGAATCCCAGTATTACAGACAGGCCTGCTGGAAATAGCTACCACTGTAGCCTATATCATTATTTGTTTAAATAGCCTAGGAAAGTTAAAGATCAAGTACCAAAAAGTTATTGCCAATGAAAATAAATCAGAAACGAAAACAGTGTCTCTGATATTATTAACATCAATATATAGAAGAAAAACAAGATTTGATTTAAACAAAATTTTCCACAACTACATGTATATTAAACTCTTTTATTAGGCCAATTGTCAGGTTATATGAAAATTAATTTAAAAAAAAAAATGAAACGTCACAGACTAATACCTAAAGTTCATTTTTTTTTAAATTAAGAAAAAACGTGCAATAATGTCAGTGAGGCTCCTCAACACTCACCTGATTGCTCTAGTTTCAGAAAAGCATATCAACAAAAGCATTTATTATGAGCTATCTGTTTTTCTTCTCCTTTATCTATTAAATAACACTTGTCATAAAACATATGAAGGACTGGGCAATGAACTATTTTGAATCTATTTTTGAGCTTTTCTAGAAAACTGCTTTAATGTGCTTAAGAGAGTAGTTTTTTATCAGGAAGGTTTGGAAGTCTCCTATTTCGTTGAATATCCATCTCCTCCCCTGAAAGATCATGCTCATTTTCGTTGGGTTGTAATCCAAGCTCCTTTGCCTCACAGAATATCATATTCCATGCCCTACAGTCTTTTAATGTAGAAGCTGCAAGGTCCTGTGTAATCCTGACTGTGGTTCCATGATATTTAAATTGTTTCTTACTGGCTGCTTGCAGTATTTTCTCTTTGACCTGGTAATTTTGGAATTTGGCTATTACATTCCTTGGTGTTTTCAATTTAGGATCTCTTTCAGGTGGTGATCAGTGTATTCACAGCAGTTTTCCTTTATGATTTCCTGAAAGATACTGTCCAGGCTCTTTTTTTCATCGTGATTTTCAAGAAGATCAATAATTTTTAAATTGTCTCTCCTGGATCAATTTTCCAGGTCAGTTGTTTTACCAATGAGGTATTTTACATTTTCATCTATTTTTTCATTCTTTTGTTTTTGTTTGACTGATTCTTGCTCTCTCATAGAGTCATTAGCTTCCATTTGCCCAATTCTAATATTTAACAAATTGTCTTCTTCTATTAGATTTTGTACCTCCTTCCCCATTTGGCCAATTGTATTTTTTAGGGACTTGTTTTCTTCAGTGTACTTTTTTTCCAGTTAGCCAACTGTATTTTTTAAGGACCTGTTTTCTACAGTTGATCTTTGTCCTTCCTTTTCCAAGCTATTGACTCTCTCTTGCATACCTCTCATTTCTTCTTCTACCTCTCTCATTTGACTTTTAAAATCCTTCTTGAGCTCTTCTAAGAAGGCTTTTTGGGCTTCACACCAGTTCATATTCCCTTTTGAAATTCCAGATATGCATCTGTTGACAATGTTGTCCTCTTCAGAATTTCTGCCTTGATCTTCACTGTTCCCATAATAAGAATCTGTTGTACATTTCTTCCTGCCCATGGTGTTTGCTTATTTCCTCGCCTTTAAAGAGTTTAAGCGCTACTGCTGGGGAGCAGAGGGCACCTCCCGTGTTGGGAGCCTAGGGCCTGGTCACTGGTCCTGTGTGCTGGGGCCTCTGATGCTGGCAGTTTGAGGCTGCAGGGTATCAGCAGCCCACCTGGTGCTGGGCTGGAATCAGCAACACTGGAACTCCAGGGGTAGGACTAGATAGTGTGGCTCCTTGAGATCTCCCGCTCACCCAGGCCTTTCCCTCCTTTCTATTTCTTCAGTTCCTTTCAGATGGATGTTGCAGGGTGTTTATTTGTCTGAGGCCCCTTGGAGTGCTGCTTCCCCTAGTTTTACTGAGGCACTGGGAGAGCTCGTTGCTGTAGCATACTACCGTCTGACTTGAAGCTGGGCATCTGGCCTTATTTGTATGACTATTACATATTCTCATAAGTATATCAGTGGGAAATAGGATGATGGGAAGGAAAATCAAAACTCTGGATTGACTATGGCAAGGCTTTTATTAAGCCATCAGAGAATTAATTTTATGTCTTGATTTCTTGTGGAAAGGAATAAGAAGATGACTTTTATTAGTGAAGACAGAAGAAGATATGAAGATAATTCTCCTCTTCTTATTGGTCACAAGTCAAATATGATGAAAAATAATATGTGGCTAGTTGTGGAAAAGAAACCCTGTCTCAAAACTTTTATCTTAGAACTTTGGGATGCCAAAATAAAGAAATATGAGTGAATACACTGCCTGTTTTTTCGAAAAGGATGGGATACTCACCTAAGCCGAGGGCAGTTTTGACCCAGGGCATTCAGGATTGCATCTGTGATATTGGAGCAGCCAGAAGCACAGAGAGATTGCAATTTGTGGCAGCCTCTGCATATTGTAATGAGACCATCATCTGTGATTTGCTAAGATGAAAAGAAAAATCTTAGATATTACTCAATGAAGAGAAAAGCCATAAAAATAAGCATTAACCCATATACACAGGGCCTAAAAGAATTCAGATCAAGTACAGTGGAAAATAGGCAATGGGCCTCAACTAATTTGACATAATGTCTATTCTTTCCAGTTCCATTTACTTTGGGCTGCATAAGAAGTTGTTTGTGGAATAACTCCACAATTGGAGTTATTCCACAAGGGAAATTGTTACTAGATATTGTGTAATTTTAATGTAGAGTCAGGCAATAAGATAGGAGGAAATCATGATTTAGGATGCTAGGAGACTGGTGTTCTCATTCCAAATCTAATAAATGATGTGACTCCAGCTAAGCCACTTAACCACTTTGCCTCAATTTACCCTCCCTTTTAAAAGGAATCTCTGATCTACCTACCTCACATAAAGAATTTGTTATGAGGGGGAAAAAATGACAAAAATCATGGGAATGTTAAAAAGTAATACATAAATACAAAACTTTATGATTAGATTCTGATGGTTAAAGGGGGAAAATGTGTTGGTGGGACAAGTGAACATTTAACAAACCAAACGGAATTTCTGTTATATGATTTTGAAAAGTAATGGCTGATTTATGAGAGCTGATGTTGAAACCCTCCATGCCCCCAACTCAAATTGAAAGCCAGGGTACAATGTCTACTGAATATTTCAAAGACTGACAGATAGGGTGGTTAGTTTGGTTTAACTTTTTCCCCTCTCTTCTTAAGGGACAGAGGAAGGCTCAACTGAAGGAGAGTAGTAGTATATTGGCAGGAAAAAAACTTATATGAAAACCAGAGGTATTAATGTAACTCAAAAACAGAAAACTAATTGCAAGGATGTACAATTTTCTTTGTCTTTCAAAAACTGATAAAGATGAGAAAACTACATAGGAGAACAGATGTGTCAATTATTCATTTGCTTCAAATTACTCAAGAAAAGCATGATTCATCAATATAGTAAAGTTTCTTCCATGTTAAAATAAACAAAAAGGTTGGGCAACATCCTAGAAATTCATCATGAGTAGAGATTTTGATGAGACATTTCTCCATATTTTTTTGGTTTGTTTTTGCAAGGCAATTAGGGTTAAGTGACTTGCCCAGAGTCATGCAGCAAGTAAGGGTCAAGTGGTGAGGCCAGATTTGAACTCAGGTCCTCTTGATTCCAGGGCCAGTGCTCTATCGACTACACCACCTAGCTACCCCCATTTTCCCCAGATTTTTAGGGATAGATTTTGTATTAGGAAATGGATGGGGGAACAGAACATACAAGAAGTAACATGAACGCTACCTGTTCATTAATTTCCACCAATCCTCTACCCATTGCACCAACTACTGTCCCAACAATTTCCTTTTCTTCAGAAAGAAAATTATTTAAAAGTGTACAAGAAAGAGCTGTATAGTAAAGTTAGGGGCAGACAAGCCAGAATGATTAAAATTTATAACTTCATTAGTTAGGCAAGGGGATAAGAAGAACAGCAAAGTCCCTAGCTTCAACTCAATCTAGAGTTTTGTTGGAGCTTTCCAGGGGCATTCATTTTTAGTTCTTCTGGCTAAAGGAAAGGAATGTTGGCATTGGCTATGGTAGCATTCTTCAGCAGAAGAAGGAAGAAGGCAGAAGATAAAAAAGAGAAGAGATTCACAAAGGCAAAAATAAAGATTTCTAAGACAGCAGGTACAGTATTTTCACCCAAACAAGCCATGAGATAAATGGCAAAGGGAGAAGAAATTTGACTACAAGGGAACCTTTTGGGCAGTATATGCCATCCTAAACACACTTATAAGTTTATACGTAAAAATGTTATTTTTAACTTGCCAGTTACTTGCCAGTCCTGCTAAGCAAAATTATCACCAATAACCACAACTTTGGGAGTTGTTCATCTTAACGGTAACAATCCCAAAGATCAGAAGGTTGAGTGATGTATTCTGTCCTCTAGTTTAAGACTGGACTGTAGTTCAAAATAACCCACGAAAAAAGAGAACAACAGGTTGAAGATGTAGCATACCAAAAGTTCTTTTGAGGTTAGAGGTTCTAGCATCCCTAGTGCCATTCATTTTGTATTTTAAAAGTATGTATCCCATTAACATTCTGGGTCCCTGACAGATTTTTCCAGGAAGTGTTCTGAATAATTTGAAGGGGGTTTTAGTCAGGTACAACCGTACATATGGTTTACACACATGCTGAATTAAAATAGAGGACATTATGAATAACACTTCAATGAATTCATAAATACAAAATATTGACACAATAGATCACATTTGTATAGAATTGAAGATGACAACGTGCTTTTTCTCACATCAACTCTATGAGGTAGTATATTATTTATCCCTCTGTGACAATATGAAAAAAGTTAGGCTCGGAAAAGTAAAGTGATTTGGCCAGCATCACAACTAATAAGGTATTGGGCTAGGCCTTGTACTCCTAGACCAATGCTTTTTCCATTAGACAACACTAACCTTCAGATCAGTATGACTGGAAGGGGTTTGAAGGCTAGAAGGCACACTTTAGAAAAATCTCAGTAACAAGCTCATCTCTAACTCAAGCAAACAAAGTCACAGTGAAAGCTACTTACTAGGCAGGTCTGCAGGTTTAAAGTCACCAGTTCAGGACAGTGTGTGCCAATGTATTTGAGAGCTTCATCCTCAAGCTAGAAAGACAGTAAAAAAGAAAATGCTAGTTACTGACATTTCAAAGGAGATAGAACGGCTTTTTCCCATACTCCAAGGCTGGCTTAAATCACACTGTTTTGTATTATCAATATTTTATATAATTTTTGACCAATTTATACCCACTGTACCACCATTATTAAAAGGAAAGAAGAAATGAGCATCACTTTGCCTATGAATGAGGCTTCTATAGATGTACTTCTCTGGGCTCTGGAGATGGTTTATGAGGACAATCAGTTTCCCCTATCTCCACATTCTCCAGAAAGCTCTTTAAAACCCAATTTCTGGAAGCAAAAACTGAAAAAAGAACCCGTAATGGAATTTGTTTGTTTTCTTGATGTGGGTTTTTTGTTTTTTTGGGCTTTTTTTGCCATTGAATGATCACTGCCATGCTTACAGTGCTAAGAACAGATGGCATATAATTGATTACAAAATGTATTCCAATCAATATTTTTCAGGACTCTGTAAATAACCAAAAGCGCAAGCTGTTGTTTTGTGGTAATCAAATCCCTGACATACTGCTTTGAACATCAGGGCCCCACCCATCCTGGCAAAAGAATGGTAGGAGCTACCCTCTAGTCTAGATATAATTTTACTACTGATTGAGATCTGAGACAAATTCTCATTTAAAACCTGCAACCACAGCTGAGTTATTATTCCAAATCCTTTCTTTCTTCTCAAGTATGCTTGCAAAATTACCTTTTCTAATATAATAAACAGAGATGAATTTCACCTTTTTTAAACAAGGTGTTTGTCTTTTGCCATGTATGACCAATGGGGTAATAAAGGGAAAAGAAAAGGTACCAAAATGATAGGTAGTATACAGGAATTAAAGAATCTGGTACATATAAGAATTTAAGATTTCTTGGCAGCTAAACATTTGGTTAGAAATGCCAAGACTGCTTATAAATACCACCTCAAAGTCTCAAACAAAATAGTAAACGTGAGCAGTTTTTTTTCATGTGGTAAGATTACATAGTAAAGCTCTGCTTTTCTATGTTACCCATTCAGGATGACCTTTCAAAGAAAAGCAATTCTACTATTAGATATGTTTATTATTTGCCAGATGTTAAACTTGCTTATTTTTTTCCCAAAGTAAACAAGTTAAGGCTTAGTGAACATGTCTTTCATAAGCAAGTTAACGGGGGGGAAAAAAATTCTCTTTCTTAAGCCTCCTAACTCCATTGCCTTGATCTCATATTCTAAGGGTACTATGTTAAGTATTACCTGTGTGCAGCCTTTAAGAAATAAGGCTTTGAGCCCTCCACAGCCTCTCACTAGAGCCTGGATACCATCCTTGGTCACTTGGTCACACCATGAAATGTTCAGTTGTTCCAGCAGTGGACATCCCTCGCTTAAAAGGGGGAAAAAACCCAAAACCAGAAAAAATCATCACGACTAAGTACTACTCCAAGACTTAGGACCCCAAAGTCCATTTTATGGGATTTTCAGTCAATAGAAGAAATGGTTAATCTCCTCTTACTCACATAAATATACATTTACTTAACCAGACAGTAGAATATACAAGGTTCCATGTCAAAAAAAAAAAGAAATAAGTCTTTCAAAGTTAGTGAGGTATACCAGAAGTCATGTTAACATCGTGGTAATTGCAAACCTAACAAATGAAATTATTTTCCACAGATATTTTTCAAGTATGGGCCTTGCAATGAGGACCAACTTCATTATCCTTCAGAGGCTAGCTTGCCATCACACTGGCTGTAGGGAGGGAAATTTTCTGGCTACAGAAACTTCAGAAATCTAATTAGTAATCTACACAGAAAATATAATTTTTATTACTAGAGGGAGTAACCACATTGATAAAATTATATTCTTAACATTTTTCACTGGCCTTATTGACTGAAGAACATTTCACACTTGTTAAGTACTTTCTGATCTATTATTCCAATTGCTGCACACAATCACTCTGTAAAGTACGGCAGCTATTAATGATAAGTACAGGAAGTTTAAACATTCTGCTTTAGGTCACACAGTTAGCAAGAGACAGTTGAGATTACAACCTAGCTCTCCTGATTTACAGTTCTATTATACTATTTACTGAGGTAGTAACAAAATTTTAATTGATGTAGAAATGCAAAATGTATTAACCTAAACAGTTTATAAATCTGTAATCTATAATCATATTTAATCTTCTAATAACCTATGTATCCTCATAAATCCAAACCCAGCTTCAGACTAGCTGTGTGACCCTGGCCAAGTCATTTAAACCTGTTGGCTTCAATTTCCTGATCGGTAAAATGATCTTGGTAAGGAGATGGCTAACCACTCCAGTATCTGTGCCGAAGAAAACCCCAAATGGGGTTATAAAGAGTTGGAAAAGACTGGAAAAAAAAATACAACTGAAGAATAACTGAACCAACGTATTTAGGTGTTTTTTTGGCCACCTAAATTCTGGACCTAACTATTTTATTTAATTTTCTTACCTAAGTTATCCTTTTCTCATCTTTTCTGAGAAGTTTTTATAAATCCAGGGCCTCATTGTACTTTGTATTATTTCATTTTTATCATCTCCTCATTTTCCTTACTTTTTCTCTCATAATCTGCAGTCTAGTCCTTAAGACTTTTAACTTATCATAAACCAGCTGATATTTGGATTATGGAAGATATCTGGCATCTCCTTGGCTTAATCTTGGAAACTTCTGCTCTAACTGAATTAAAAAAAAAATTTGACAGGATTTCATACAGTTCCACTATGCCATTTACTTAGCCAATCACTAGGCCAAGGTGGGTCTCAGTGAATTTTTGCAAATTGTCTGAATTCAATCAACAAATATTTATTAGGTGCCTACATTACACCAGCCACTGAACTGAGCACCTGGGATACAAATATAAAAGTGAGACTGTATCTGCTATCAAGGAGTTTACATGTCATTGGGGAGTTACCACATGTTCACAAGTAAATAAATATAGGATGTATGCAAAAAAACCATGATTGAGAGGAGGGTCATTAACAAATGGGGTAATCAGGAAAGGTACTTGAGCTGATCCTTGAAAGGATCTAGGAACTCTATGAGGGTGACTGGGAGGAGGGAGAGCTATGCAATGGCTGGGAGGCAAGAGACAAAATGTTACACATAGGAACCAGAAAAAAGGACAATCTGGGCTGAAACACAGAAAGATGAAGGGGAATAATGTATTATCAGCCTGGAAAGATGAACTGACCCCAAATTTTAAATTCTTTTAAATGCCAAACAAAGGCATTATAATTTATTCCAGATGCAGAGAGAAGCTATTGAAGCTTCTTGTGCAGGAGTGAATTGGTCAGATCTACATTAGAAAATTGGAAAATCTATCCATTTGGCAGCTGCAAAGCAGATGAATTGGAGAGGGAAGAGACTATATGTGAGGAACCCTGTTAGGGACCTAACTGAAACAGTTCAGGTGAGAGATAATGAAGACCTGAACTAGGGTTGGTGAATTTGAAAGATGTGAACATATCAGATTTAAAAATTGACTGGATACTGGTAACCTAGTTCTCATTAAGTATAAATGTTACCAGTGTAAGTTATCACTAAGGCTTGTTTAGCTGGTAAAGCACCCAAGAAAATTAACCCTCCTCCCTTTCACACATCGCATCTTGGTACACAATGTTCCAACTGTCACTGCTTCATCTTCCTTCCATTCCTCTGGGAAAAAAATCAGAAATGGAATTCGTGTATTATGTTTACCTCTGATCAAAGGTCCGAGTCATGTTTTGTCATCTTACTTGGGGCACCACTAAGACTTCAGATTGATATAGGATGAGAGATCTAATTTGAACTAGTGTACATATGGTTAACACTGTAATATATCCAATCCCTACCTCAGTGCTTTTAGAGACATGTTGGTTATCGATGTACAGGAAGCCAAGTCAAGGTGCCTGAGTTTGGAACAGAACTTGCTAAGGCTAGTACATGTGCTGAAAGAGGATAAAAAAAAATTATCTATATTTTTAGACACCAATGAAACAAGACAGACACAGAAACACACATCCACGCTATAGAAAAACCCACCCTTATTTAATCATACACATAGGTAGTAGAAGCTTCAATTTCCATGCCCCAAATAGTCATAGCATTGGGAATTATATTAATTATTTTTAAAGATGAGAATTGGGCTGGTGACATTCACTTATAAGAAACATAGAGATATGCATGAAAGGGATGATGGTGTTTAGTTCATATCTGGAAATTTTAGATGTCAGTGTAGTCTGATTACACGTGTTCTAAAAGGTTTGTTTGTTCTTTAGAAAAACAAGAATTAGGAATGTATATAGCATCCCTAGAGTACAGCCAAAAATGAAGATTCATCCCTTCTTTCTTCTCAAATTTCTGCTCAATACAATCCTTTAATAGACAGATGTTATTAAAGTAAACAGCTGGGGTAAGGAGAAATATCATTATGGGAATGAGTCATTTGCATGGGAAATACAGACTGAACAAGGAATGGGGTCAAACTGGGTCCACGTAGGGGTAAGATTATACACTGCAATTATTAGCTGATTTTCTATTATGCCGTTCCTTTGAAAAACTCAAAATTCTCAAATTCTAAAGATTCATGTGAGTGACAGTAAAAACGCTTTTTCTCTAAATTAAATATGGACCACTGGTACAAACTATTCACTGTAGGGGAAGGCCAAGTGCCTCTTACATTGAAAGGTTTCAAGGAGATTCACCTAATAACTATAAGATAAAGTCTCTTGACACCTTGTAATATTAATAAGCCATGTCATGAACCTCAAGAATGGCACAGAACAAACTACAGCCTGTAAATGGAATGTCTTCCCTTTTCTTTCATTCAATTACTTTCTAAAATCCCCTTTTTCTCCACTAGTATTCCCTAATTGGAAAAAAGGCAGTAAATTCCTTCAAATCCTCATACTACTTCAATGACCTCATTTTACATCAAACAGCCAATACAATACATTAACATTGCATATAATATTAAGATTTTGTTAAATTTGCATAAAGAATTAAGGGCTTTCTTTTAGCTATATATTCTTCATTGCCTCTCTTAGGTTATGAACTTCCCATGGTGAAAACCATCAATAAACTTATAAATATAGAAGTACAAGGCACTATGCTAGATTAGGCACTGAAGATATAAAAGATTTTTTTAAAAATGACAGTCCCTGCTCCCAAGGAGTTTACATTCTGTCAGAAGGGACACAACACATATATTGATAAGTAAAATAAAAGGTAGAGAGTGATGAGGGCAAAGGAAGAGAACTAGACAAAATGTTATAGGAAAATCTAAAGAGAGACAGAACACTTTCAGCTGGAAAGGCTGTACAGAGGTGGTGGTCTCTGAACTGAACATTAAAGGAAAATAAAGGTCCTGAAGGGTAGAAATGAGGAGGATGTGTATTTGGCAAAGGGAGAGAATGCAAAAAGTGTGAGATGGCACGCATCAAGTTAGGAGAACAGGTAACTGTCCAATTTTGCTGAAACAGAATACAAGAAGGGGATTACATCTGAAACGAGGCTAGAAAGGCAGTCTGAAGCCAGACCACGGAGAACTTTAAATGCTAGTATTTTATTGTGGAGACAAAAACATTCACTGAATGTTTTTGAGCATGGGAGTGACACAGTCAGTCCCGTGCAGAAAGGGTAAGAGAACAGAGATAGGACAACCTATGTTTTCAAATGGTGGCCAGTAGTGCAACATTTGAAAAGCAAGTAATTCTTGTATTTTATATTCTCACAGTCTTCAACTGGCTATGATTTTTTTAATGTTTCACTTTAATCCTTAAGGCAAGATTTGGAAACAGTTCCAAAACAATTTCAATTCTATTTATATCTGTACTTCAGTTTCTTTTGAAAAATTTGAAGCTCTGTCTCAAATGAAATAAACAGTGAATCACTACGAATACAAAAGGCATTCACTGGTTATGGGATGGGGTCAAATTGGGCCCATTGTGGGACAGTTTTATACTAACTATCTACCACCTTTTCTATTATACCATTCCTTTAAAGAATTCAAAATTTCAAACTTCCCAAGACTAAGGATTCACGTAAATCACAATAAAAATGCTATTTCTTTAAATTAAATATGGCCTTGGAACCTGAAGCACAAACAGCCAATGGAAGCTGACATTAATTCTCACCAGAATCAAAGAGGAAAGTGTTGTCTCCTATGGGGTAGGATCAGGAGTCACTTTCCTCTAGCCTGCAAAATGATTTGCTAACTCCTTGATGCACCAGCAAAGGGTAGAAAGGAAGGGTATATGGTACTTACGCATCTGTGGTCTTTGTACATCCATTTAGATTTAGTACTTCAATATTCCTACAATTCTGTGCAAAGGTCCTTTATAAGAATAGAAAAGAAAGGCTTTCAGAAGAAATAGTGGAATTCTAGACATTTTGAAGAAGATATTGTATCTTCCGGTACCATAAGGGTTTACAAATTTACTACAACTTTTCATTAATCACTTCTCAAACTCGGATTTCTGTGGTATCCCAATGAATGTCTCTAAGCAAAAAAGAGATTCAGAATGCTCTCGCCCACCAGAAGGGTCAGCCCCAATAGGTAGTTTCTGGTCTTCTTGGCTCTAGTTCTTGTTTTCTTCCACAATTTATATCCAGAGTTTCCTCAATGGACAATTTTCATAGTTAAAACATTTTACCTGAATTAGGACTCTTCAAAAACTGAGAAATTAAATCAGCATTTTCTGTATAAAGGATCTTTTTTGCTTAGTCAAAGGGGGCATTTGACAACTAAAATAAGCTATGACATTACCTTAATGCATTGTCTCCTACTCCAAGACACCCACGCAGACTTAACTTTCGTAAGAAACCACCACATCTTTTAGAAATATTCTCTACTACTCGGCCCTATGAAAACAAAGAAAAGCAAATAAACCACTCCTTTTGAAAGCATCTAATTGCGGTTTCCACATGTCTAAAGGAATATGAAAGCCTTCAATTAATTTTATTTTTCCTTCCACTCATTTAAAAAGATCTAGCCAATTTGCAATCAAATCTCAAACATACTTGAATCTACAAAGCCTTCCCTAATTAAACACCTAGTCATTCATCTATGCATTCCACTGTTATTTACACAATCAATGAGATATTCTGTACTTGAAGAAATGTTGCTTTCTATTGTTTATAGGTCATCTCATAAATCTGTCACTTTGTTAATTTTTTTTTACATGTAACTGAGAAATATTTAATAAAATAAAAATACACCAGGGGGCGAAAAGCCAATACTATCCACAATTGGTTTTGTGTTCTCTTCCACATTAGCAGTGTCTATTCTAGTGCTCTCTTTAGGGCACTTAATGGAAGCTGGCTATATTGAGTGCACAATATGCTTAAGGTATACATAGGGGTTAGATAATTATGAAGGGGGGGGGGGAAGCCAGCTTAAGATCAGCGGAGAAAATAGTAGAAACAATTTAAATTAAAAGCAATCTCTATTCCATTATAGTGTGAAGACAAAATCATAGCTGCAAAGTTTCCTCAAAGCTCACTTTCATTTATTCATTTGATTATTCATTTCACAAATCTGGTAAGTTGCTTGATGGAAACTATTTCTACTGGAGCACTAAGAAATGGAAGAATGAGATGAGGGGGGAAAGGATTTGGGAGGGAGAAATTTTAAAAAAAATCTTTAGCACAAAAGCTCTTAGTCTAGATTCATGGTTTTGTCTAGAGGTATTTTTAACAACTTTCCAAGAAAATCAAAAATGGTAATTATGAGCTTTCCTTTAGCTTTCAATTTTCATCTAAAGACAGGCCACACCCACCAAGGGCTGAAATTGCAAAAGGCAAATTTTGCAACAAACATGGCATCAGGTTTCCTCTCTTCACCAAAACTGTATCCAAAATGTTCATTCTTAGAAGCAACATATATACAGAAACCAAGACACAAGTTTGCTTGCTCTTTTAACAAAAATAAAATGACTCTTTAAAATGAGAAAGCATATATTAATGACTCTTTAAAATAAGAAAGCACATATACATAATTTCACTGTGAAATCTCCTTTGGTTCTTTTCCAAAGAAATAGTTCTGCCTGACCTTAAAAGTTAAAATGAGCTTTTGGGACTCAAGGTTTCCCTAAAGTTCAAAATGTACTCAAATTAATGATTTCTCTCTCTCTCTCTCAGGAAAAGGAGGGTTATACTAATGGTATTAATCTGGTCTATACAGTAATTACACTTTAACAAGAAAAATGGGATCACATATCACATATAATTATACCTCGATATCCCTCTGGAAATCAAACAGGTCAATCCGCTGCCAGTTGCTGCCATCTAGAGCTAGAACATTCCAAGCCTAGATTGGGGTGGTGGGAGAAGAGAAGAGGGCGAAGAAGAGTCCACAGAGTTAATTGAAAAACAGAAAAGTCAATGTGACCTGATTCAGTCTTCATGAAAGTCTACTTAAGATTAAAACAAAACAGAACTCCCACAAAAAACCCACAGATAATTCATACTACACAATGACTAAGACAGATATAAAACAAATACCACGATCAGCTGCCTTACTTTTAACCAATAAAGAACACTCACCTTGGTTCTTCCTACACTTAGCCCACAATTACACAAAAAGATGAATGGATATGAAACCTGTGACACATTGTAGAAAAGTGCTCAATTCGGGCAGTCAGAGCCAATGGTCAGGGCAAAACAGGCTATAGGATAAGGACTGAAGCCAGAAGCTATTTTCTAACTAGAATATATGGTCTTTTGAACCCAGGGAACATTGGTTATCAAAGGAATTCACCAGCACAGATAAGCCTGAATTAGGAAAAAGAGAAACAGTAGATGAGGACAAAGATTCAGGAATGAAAGGCCTAAGTAATTAGATGACCTAGTTCAAGAACTTCACTTTACAGATAAGGGCTTGGAAGCCCAGAATGGGAAAGTGACTTGCCCAAGATCATATAGGTAAGAAGTGTTTAAAATCAGTGTCTCTTATCTCTACAATCAATGTTTTCCATACCATCAAGTAAGGGTAAAGGAAACCTTTTTTTTTTTAAACAAATAACTGGCACTCAAACTTTCATTTAATTAGTTTTGCATATTATCAGACTTTAAAATGTAGAATCTCTGACCTGAAAAGAGGACACTATTCATTTCTTGGGCTTAATGGAATCCTATAAGATTATAGGATTGCTTATGTCCTTCTACTACTGCAAACAGCAAGTTAACAAACATGACACTCATTACCACAAGAGGTGGTATCCTTGAAAATAAGACCAGGTTTTGTGACTGCTGGGTGACAACACAGATGGCATCAGATATCTTGTAAAAGTCATTAACCATGCATTGTAGGTCTGTGGAGATAATAGGGAGGGTTCATTCAATAACTAGACCATAACAAGGAACCTACACACAACGGACAGGGTTAAGGATTTCACTAGCAGATTTGTCCAGGATCATTCAATTTGTTTTAATAGGATTGTGTTTCTTCTAGATTAAGAAAAGTCCTTGGAGCTTCTAATATCTTGCCATACACGTAAGAGTAACTAAGAAAGTATAACATTGAACTCATCCATAAAACTAAATCAACAGCACCTTTAAAATTCTCTATCTATGATAACCTTTACCATTGAACATGTTTATTCTGCTCAATCATACGTTAGCCAAGAATAAGAAATTAAAAGGTTAGAGAGAAGCTAGGTGGTACAGTGGATGGTACTGGGCTTGGAGTAGGGAAGATAAAGCCAGTCTCAGACACTTACTACTTGCATGATCCGGGACAAGTCACTCAACCTCTGTCTGCCTCAGTTTCCTCAACTGAAAAATGGGAATAATAACAGCGCCTACTTCTCAAGGTTGTTGTGAGAATCAAATAAGGTAATATTTGGATGTCCCTAGCACAGTGCCTGGCACATAATAGGCACTTAATAAGTACTTGTTCCCTTCCCTTCCTCCACTTCTCTTTCTAAAGAACACATAACAGAACTCTATAATGACAGTGGTCATTACATCAATTTAGTTTCACCAGGGGTCAAACAGTGTCTCCTGCAACATAAATGCATATATGGTTAGAAGATCATCACACCACCAGTATTATAAGCAGGTTTCATTATAATTCAGCTATTCTTACCCTGGAGACTTGAGCACAGCGACACAATGTAACAACATCCAGAAAAGAGAATATTCTAAAAAGAAAAGAAAAAATTTATTGTAGAATAAAATAAGTTTGTCTTAATTTTAGATACATATAACATAACAAAACAGAACACTTTAAACAAAAAGACTAGGGGCAGCTAGATGGCACAGTGGATAGAGCACCGGCCCTGAATTCAGGAATTCCTGAGTTCAAAACTGGCCTCAGACACTTGTGACACTTAACTAGCTGTAAAAGACTGGCCTTTTTAATTCTGTTGGAATTTCACAAATAAAAGGACATAAAACCTCTGTAGTTTTTTTTTTTCCCAAAAGGACTAATACCACTCCTACCCTCAAAGTGAAAAATTTAGTTTTTCACCTTACAATACTGTTGACAATAAACACAATGATTATTTATCAACATAATGACAGCAGTAGCTCAGTTAAAAAACCTGAAACAAAAATAAAAACCTGAAGTCAAAATAAATGATTCTAAAGCAACAAAGTTTTACAAAAAGCAAAACAAAGGCGTTGCCCTATTTTGATATATAACAGTGACTGAAGGGTAGGGTGGTAAAAGTGTAAACACTTGCTCTCTACTAATAAAAAGTTATACAACTGATAAAAAAAGGAACAATAAAAGTAATCGCAGTGTCTATAAAACAGTAATAACCAGTTAGTTAGAATCTTTCTATCACCAATTCTAGTTCAGAAGCTTATAAAAATAGAATGACTTTAGCTAACATATCAATGACAAGAAAGAATTAGGACTTTTTCAGGTTAACAGTAAATATAAGCGTACATTAGGTTTGAAGTGGACAAATGTCTACCTGACTATGACCAGATGAATTCTACCAGAGGCAATCCATGTAATGTGGTTGGGTATGTTGAAATCAACACTAAATGAGTCATTTTTGCATGAAATACTTTTCTCCACGAATATTCAGGTCATACTGGTCCGAATAGCTAGCTTTTGTGTTATTGAAAATGTTATTTTTTCATCACCTTCAATTTTATTGATCTTTCATTTTTACATTATATACTTCAAAAAAGGTCTCTTGTAACAAAAACAGTTAAGCAAAATTATTAACAGTGATCTCATCTGACAAAGTGCATGCAACATTTCACAACTGTGAAATTCTCTAAAACCTGTGAAATTCCCCATCCTCTATTTAAGAAACAAAAATAACAGAAACCCATTTTCCCTTCCCCTGACCTCTTCCCTACCCCACTGGGGGGAAAAAAAGGAAAAAAAATTTCATCTAAAAATGCACAGACATGCAAAACAAATCCCCCTAACTGTTGTACTCGAAAGCTCTCTAATGGGTAGCACAGTAATCTTCCAGGATCATGTATGATCAATGTCGTAATTCTTATAGTTTTCAAAATGTTTTTATAATGTTGTCATTGTATAAATTGTTTTCCTAGTCTAGTCCTCATTTCATTTTATGTCTTCAAATTATTTATTTTTATATTTGTTAAAATACTGGATCTTAAATTTCTAGTTTCTTTTGCCACCACAGAAAGACCTGTTATAAAAATATTTGTATGCCTTTTTCTCTTTTGTACAGCCGAGTCAAAGGGCATGCATAACTTTTTTGTGTAATTTCATACGGCTTTTCAAAATGGCTATATCCATTTGTAGTATCCCCCAAAGTTTACCAATACGCTTGTTTTCCCACAGTCCCTCCAAAATTTATCAATTTTCATTTTTGGTCACCTGTGCCATGATGATGGTTGTGAAGCAGAATCTCAGAATTGCCTTAATCTGCAGTTCTCTAATTAGCAGAGATCTGGATTGGCTATAGATACCCTGGGTTTCTTCCTTTCAGAGCTGTCTGTTCTTAGACCATATATCAATTGAGGAATGGCTCGTTTTCTTATAAATTTCCAAGATATAAGGAATTGATTCATATTTATAAGAAAACATTGTTTTCTATGATTCTATTCCTCGTAAGTCACGAACTTTTCTCCTATTCATCTGACAAGTAATTTTTTAAAATATTATTTTGTTGAGAATTTCCCTGTCATCCTTTGTGATAACAAGAATGCTATAAAACCATTTGGTGTAGAGTATATCATATGATCCTTTATTCGGTAATATATGGACCTTATGCACCTTAGTATGAAAAATTCTCAACTCCACTTTATAAAAATGTTTATCACGTGACTAATTAAAACTGAGTTGGGAGGGTTAAGTAAAGGGCTAATTTAGTAAGGTAATAAAACTGATCTACAACAAGCTCTGTAAAATGTTATTTACAGATAGGTAGATTGTAAGCCCTGAGAAGCAATTATAATGGAAACAATAACATCAAATTAGTTAGGTGGATGTACGAGCACCATAATGAAGCCTGGAGTGTATACTATCCAGAAAAAGAATAACAGTAGTTACAGCAACGAGCATCCCTCTGACTTGCAATAAGCATGCCATGATTACTATACCAGTTAGCTAGTCAAAAGAGAGATGGCTGTTTTTGGAAAAGAAAATGATTGATTATGATATGGATGGCATGCAAAACTTTTTAAATTTTCTTTTATCACCAGGTCCCTTGCTTTTGTGTATATCACTTTATTACTTTTCTCTTTTTTAGTTTTCAACAATCACTTCCATATGCTTTTGAATTTTAAATTTTTCACCCCCTCCCTGCTCATCTCCCTCCCCAAGAGGGCATGCAATCTGATAAGCTCTGCATATATATTCCTAATAAACATATTTTCACATTAGTCATGTTGTAGGGAAGAATTAGAACCAATAGGAGGAACCATAAGAAAGAGGAAACTGAACAGAAGGGGAAAAAAAGAGCAAATAATATGCTTTGATCTGCATTCAAACTCCATATTCTTTCTCTGGATGTACACTTTATTTCTTACCTAACCAGAAAAGTAGCTTATGGTGGAAAGAAGAGAAAAGGAAAAAGAACTAGTGAATGACTCAGAGATATCGGGTGCTGGGTAACACAAAGATTAGTAAGAAAGGGTAGAAATGCATGCTTTTATGTAGAACAGATGAATGACAAGAACTTTTGCCTCCTGGAATATGTAAAAGGTATCACTAGCACTCTAACTGCTTAATAAGGAACAACAATCAGTGAACAAGCTAACATGTTAGTTCTTCAAAGTGACAGTTGAATCTATAGTCACATGAAAAAATGCTTTAAATCACTACTAACTAGAGAAATGCAAATTAAAACAACTCTGAGGTACCACCTCTTACCTTTCAAATTGGCTAATATGACAGAAAAGGAAAATGACAACTGGACATGAAAGCACTGTTGGTAGAGTCATGAACTAATACAACCATCCTGGAGAGCAATTTGGAACTATGTTCAAAGGGCTATAGAACTGTGCATACCTTTTGACCCAGCAATACCACTGAGTATGTATCCCAAAGAGATCAAAAGAAAAGAACCTATATGAAGAAAAACATTTATAGCAGCTCTTTTTGTGGTGGCTACAAACTAGAAAATTGAAAGGATGCCCAGCAAATGACAAGCAGGATGATTTCAGAAAAACCTGGAAAGACTTACATGGACCGATGCAAAGTGAAGTAAGCAGAAACAGGAGAAGTGAAGGGAGCGCAATTAGGTGAACAGGTGAACAGACATGATTTTAAACAGAATTACAAGGGCAGGATTTTAACCATTTCCCCATTTTAAGTCCCAGAAGTGGAATCAACTTCCTAAGCTCCCTGCCACACTGCTGAGCATTAAGAAGTGTTCTTTTGTTAGTAATAAGCAAACTAGAAACTCCTAAACAGGATTCCTCAAAACAAAATCAGCCTTTAAAACAGCTTAATAAAATGAATTTATGGATAAAAACTTCCCAACTTTCTAATGACAAAGAATATCGGTATTAAAAAGTCAAATGTATTCACTTTTTAAAACATGGAATTACAAGACAACAACAACAACAACATATTTTATAACCTTAGCCAAAGAAAAACTTCAACAGCCAGCAAACTGGCACAGGTGACAAAAGAGAGTAGTCAGTGTTGGAGGAGTTGTGGAAAGCCAAGCATACTAATCAGTTGTTAATGGAATTTTAAATTGGTCCAAATGTTCTGGAAAGCAATGTGGAATTAATTATGTAAAGAGAATAACTAAAATACCCATACCCTCTGACCCAGAGGGTCACACTGCTAGGTATGTATCCACCATGTACCCAGTCTATGATAAAAAGAAATACCCCAAATACACCAAATACTTTTTGTATGACCTGGAAACAAACTAAATTTCCATTAACTGGGAAATAGCTAAACAAAATGTGGTATGTAATTAGGATGAATATAGAGAAGCATAGGAAGACTTATATACACCAATGCAAAGTGAAATAAGCAGAGCCAGAAAAACAATATATACAACTTCAACAATGTAAATGGAAACAAGATAACAGAAGTGAAATGCTGTGTATGAACAATCTTAGTCATCAAGAAAAGGTGCGCAAATCCCTTTCTCATCTTTGCAGAGATGATGGGCACTGTAAGTGTGGAAAATTTTTAATATACTAATTAGCTTTGCTGAACTAATTTTCCTTCTTTTTCATTCTTTGAGTTAGCTCTCTAGGAATGGGTAGAAGAGGGAAATGTGGCTCCAGTAAAAACAAAAGGTATCAATACTTTTTCTTAAGCATTAGAAAAGGAAAGCAAATATTTTATAATGACATGACGTGCTAATTTAAATGGTTAATTTTGACTCTGCACAAAATAGATGGATTTATCACCAGAGTAAATTAGACAAACTCAAAGGGATAGCTTAATTTGAAGTATGCAGTGCACCCGGCAGGAATATACATAGTAAGGCAATGAGATTTCTTCCTATTACTATATAAGCACATCTTGTTTAGAAGGGAAAAAAAAAATCAAGCCAAAAGACAAGTGCCCAGCAGTATGATGTAAGGAATAAATGTTTATTGGAGCGGACTCAAACAAAAGTAGTAAAATACAGGGTCCTTATTCTTGAAGACCTTTAAATTGCTAGTGTTTCTTAAAGATTTTTATCAAGACATGTATACTGAACAGCTAAAGAAGAATACCTTATTTATGGCCATT